AAAAAAATATTTTTAGCCCTAAAAAATTTTTTTTCTTGCATTTTTTTCTTGAAGAGAATTTTTTAGTTAAAATTTGAATTTTTTGAAGTTTAAAAATTAAAAAGCTTTATAAAAATTTTTCTAATTTTTAAAAATTTTTTGAAAATTTTTTTTAAAAAAAATTTTTTCCTGTATTTTTTTATTTTTTTTTTTACTTTAAGAAAATTTTTTTAGTTAAAAATCAAAAATAGTTTTCGAAGGTTTTAAAAAAAATTTAAAATTTTTTTACCTAAAAAATTTTTTTTAAAGTATGAAAGGACAGATTTACTTTCAAAAGATGCAGAAGAAATATATAAAAAAATAATTAATTTATTAATTTCTAATGGTGTTGTAATTAAACAAGTTTTACTTCCAAATTTAGAATATGCTGTTAATTGTTATAGTGTTGTTGTGGATGTGGAAATTGCTTCGAATATGGCCAGGTATTCTTTTTGAAAAAATTTTTTTTGTTTTAAATTTTTAACTTATTCGTTTCCGGATCTTTCGGGTATTGTCCAAACTCTACAGGTTTGGGTTAAAAATAAATTTTTGATACAAAATTTTTTTTTGGAATTTCTTTGGAGTATTTAACAGAATTTTTTAAAATTCTTTTTGAGTTTCTTTTTTTGGTTTTAATCCTTATTTTAAATTATTTTTAAAAATTTTCAACTGATTGATTATGGTTTTTTTTGGATTTTTTTATTTTTGAAAATATTTGGGAAAAATAATAAATTAAAAAAAATCTTAAAAAACAGCTTAAATCAGTTAAAAAAATTTTTATGACGAAGAAAAAATTTTTATTAAATTTGTTTTAACGTAATTTGACCCATTTTTGCCAAATTTTTTTCCCTGCATTTTTTCAATTTTTTAAATTTAGATTTGATGGAATTCGTTACGGTTATTGTATTAACAAAGAACAATTAATTAACGACGATTCATTTATTGCTTATATTAAAAGAAATCGAAGTGAATCTTTGGGGACTGGTGTTAAAAGGCGTATATTTGCTGGAAATTATTATTCTTTAAATGAGTAGGGGGTTTTTTTTAAATTTGATTTTATATGTTAAATCTAATGGATTAGGAGGAGAGAGAACGAACTAAGCCCCGAGAGTCCGCTATTGTTGTGTAATTCTAAAATTTTGAATCCCAAATTTTTTGGTGGAATTTCGATGGATTAGACGGGTTTAGACGGGCTGAATCGAGCCATAAAATTTAGACGGGCTGAATCGAGTCATACTAACAAAAACGTTTGGAATTTAAAATTTTTTAGAGTTGAAAAATACAAATTTTTGGGCATTTTTAAAAATATTTCTAGTTTTTTTTTCGATTAAAAAAATTTTTTTTTAATTAAAAATCTATTGGATAGGAGAAGGCCAATTTATAAATACCGTAAAAACTGTATCTCTCGCTAGAGGGGGTATTTAATACAGGCGGAGTAGGGACATTACTACAATTTACGGTAATTTTTCCGATGTACAAAGTTTATCCTCACGGTCTTTAATTTTTTTAATTTTCATTTTTCTTTGGTTTCCAACCCCGAAAAATTTTTTTTAATAAACTTAAAATTTCAGAAATTACAATAAATATGTCAACAAAGCCGCCAAAATTCAAAGATTAATTCAAAAAGATTTTTCAACAATTTTTAACCAAAATATTCACTGTATTTTAACTCCAGTCTCAAGACATTCTGCCCCCTTATTTTCACAAATTAAAAGGAGAAATAGAGAAGAACAAAGGTTGGAAGATTATTTTATGGCACCAGCTAATCTTTGCGGTTGGTTTTTTTTGTTTAATTTTTTGAAAAGAATTTTTCTGAAAATTTTGAGAATTTTTTTAAATTTTGGCCCATTTATCTGAATAATTATCTAAATAATTTATCTGAATAATTTTTTTCAATTTTTTGAAAATTTTTGTTCTTAGAATTTTCAAAAAAAAATTCAAAATTTTTCAAAAAATTTTTAAAAATTTTTAAAGAAATTTTCATACTTTTTTTTTTATAATTTTGGCCCATTTACCTGAATAATTCTATTTTTTTTTAATTAAAAAAAAATTTTTTTGACGCTTCACCAAACCCATTATTAATTATTTCCGTTTAACTGAAAAAAAGGTTATCGTAAATATCTCCCCGTGGTAACGGGAAGACTACACCTAATATTTATTTTTTCTACCTATTTTTCCCTTATATTTTTATTTTCCTTCCTTATTTTTGAAAATTTTAAAATTTGAAATTTTTTTGAATTTTTTTTTGAATTTTTTTTACCTATTTGAGTCTTTTTTTTTATTATTTTTTGAGTTAGTCTCCATTAAAAAATTATTTTTTTAATTTAAATTAAAGGTCTACCATCAATTGCTATTCCCTATTCAAAATGTTCTAGAGGACTTCCCTTGGGTATACAATTAATTGCTCCCTATTTGGAAGATTTACGTTTACTTAAAATTAGTGAAATGATTGAAAAATTGTTTTAAAATCTTTAAATTATTTTTGTTGTTTTTTTTCTTAATTTAGGTTTTTCTTGTTAAAAAATTAAGTTTTTTTTAATTTAAAAATTTTAAAAAATTTCAGATCACATTTTTACTTTCCTTTTTTTCTCCCGATCATTCCCCCCATTGTCCCTTGCAACCCATATTCCGCCCCTTCCCCGGATTTTTCCTCCGTTTCCTAATTTCCCCCTCTTCCCAAAACACCCACTGTTCCCCCCCCCCCCTTCTTCCCTAAAATTCCCCCTCCCAATCCCCTTCTTAACCCTCCTTTTTCCCAACCCTCCCCCCTTAGCTCCCCCTCTTCTTCCCTCAACTCCCTTCCTCTCTTAAAAATTTTTTTATGACGTGTTCTCCTGTTAAAATAATTTTTTCTCTTTTATTTTAGAATATTTTCTCTAAGAAAATTTTTTAAAAAAGGAGAGAAGAATAGATTATGGGGAAGAGCATATTCTTTTATTAAAAGAAAGAAAAAAACTGCTCTCTAATTGCGGACCTCAGACTAGAAAAAAATAAAATAAATATTATTTATATGCCATTCTTTTTTCTACGTTTTTTCCCTCATTTTTAAAGCATTTTTAAACAAAATAAGAAGAAAGAGGAAGGGGGGAAGAGGGAAAAGAGGTCCTCATCGAGAAGAAAGGTCCCCCTCTATCCCCTCTATCCCCTATTTTTTCGAGTTTTTTTCAGGGAAAATATGAGGACATTTTTTTTTATCATTTTCCTTATTTTTATTTTTAAAAAGGGAGAGAGGTCCTCCTTTCCACCTCTTTTCAGAGAACGTGCCAAATACCTCTTAAAGGTTTTTTTCTCAAAAATAAATAATATTTTTTTTGATAATATTAAATAAATAAATTTTTATTTTGTTACATTTAAAGAGGCACGCTATATTTTTTTCTGAGAATATTTTTTCTTTGAAAATAAAAGAGGGAAAAAATTATTGGCACTATAATTGAGAAAATTTTTAATTATTTTGAAGCTTGGGTCAGTTGCTTTTGAGAAGCATAAGGTGAGGAGTTTGTGGAGTGGAAGCTCTGACCATGTGAGAGAGGGGTTGCTCATGATCACTCTATTCGAGAAGGACCTCCTTCTCTTCCTCTTTCTCCTAAAATTTCTATTAATGTACATATACTTTATAACTTGTCTAAATAAAATGACACCTTAAACAAGCTGGTTTTTTAAATTTTTTTTTGCCCTCGGAAAGAAAATTTTTTGGGGTTTTCATACCCAGCTTGATAAGGGGAATCGAATAAATTTTTAAAATTTTCGGTGAAAAGCATAAAAAAATTTTTTTTTAAAAATTGTCCTTAAACATACGAACATTTACTTTATAAATCTTTACTTTTTTTATTTATTTTCTCTTTTCATTTTTCCTCATTTCCTCTTATTTAAAAGGATGAGGCTATCTCTCCAATGCTTAATAAAGCGAGAAATAAAAAATAGAAAAAAATTCTTTTGGGGGGTCAAGCGTGTGAATTCGCAAAAGAAAAAGGGAAAGAATTGTTTAAAAAAAGTAAAGCAATGCTTTAAGTAAAATAAAAAAAAAATTTTTTTATTTTATAAGGCGCATAGTAAAGCAGAAAAATTAAGCAAAGCACGCACACACATATGTTTATTTTATTTTTTACCTTTTTTTATTTTTAAATTTGGTTGGTTCAATACATTTTCTGTTTGATTGTCGCGTTATAAAATTTATTTTAAAAATTTATGAGAATTTTTAAAAATTTTTAAAAAATTTTTTTGAAATTTTTTTAGAATTTTTAGTTCAAGAAAAATATTTTTTAGAACTAAAATTAAATTTGATTTGTTAGTAAGCGTTTTTGGTGTAGTGGGATAATTCCTGGATTGACTGAAAAAGTTGTAATATAGTGGATTTTTTTAAAGTTTTCTGGTCTCAAAAAATATTTTAGACATTAAAAAAATTTTTTAGTTTTCTTAAAAATTTTCAAAAATTTTTTTTAGAATTTTTAGTTCAAGAAAAAATATTTTTTAGACCAAAAATTAAAATTAATTTTAAGCTTAATTTAGCATTATTTTAATTAAATTTGTTAGTAAGCATTGTTGGGTTAGTGGGATAGTGCTTGGATTGATGGGGGAAGTTTGTTGAATATTCGAGTTTTTTGAAGTTTTATGGTCTCAAAAAATATTTTAAACATTCAAGAAAATTTTTTTAATTTCTTAAAAATTTTTTTGGAATTTTTAAAAATTTTTTTTGGAATTAAAAAAAATTTTCTTGAAGGGTTATAAAATTTTCCCAGGCATTTTTCAAATTTTTAATTTTAATAAATTTATTTTAGAAAAATGAAGGATAAATTTATTTTTATTTATTTTTCTCAAACAACAAATAAATAAATAAAATGAATTTTATGGAAAAATTGTAAGAAAATGAGGAGAAGAAAAATAATTTTCTTCTTTCTTCCCCTATTAAATTTATTTTTATTTTTGCCATTTTCAATTAATTCAATTATTTTTAATTCTGAAGAAGGTTTCTTCTATTTTTTTAAATGTATTTTTCCAAATTTTTAGAAACAGCAGGAATCCGTTGTTTTTGTGATAAACAGGTGGAAAAATAATTTTTTTAATTTTTAAAAAAAATTAATTTGGGTATTTTGCAACAGTGGTTTAATTACCTATAGTATTTGAATAACACTATTTAGTGCCTGTGGTGTAGTGGGTTAAATCTTGGTTTTGCTGGACAAATTTTCCCTTTGTTTATTTTTTGATTTTTTATTTTTAAAAATAAAAAAATTTTTAGGGTTGAAAATTTTTTTAAGAATTTTAAAAAATTTTTAGGTCTGAAAAATTTTTTAATTTTAAAATTCTCACAAACTTTTAAAATTTTTAAAATTTTCTATATTTTTTTAAATTAATTTTCAATTATTTTTTTAGACTTGTGGAGGAGGTGCTTTAGTCTGTGCAGGCAAATATTGTTTAATTGGACTTCGAAATGATGATGTTTCTGGAGGTAATAAATTAGAACAACACTGTGTAGATGAACAAATATATTCTAATAAAAAGGTTGGGTGTGAAAAGGAATGGCAGAAATGGGCTGAGGTGTTTTTTTGAAATTTTTATTAACTAAAAATGGCCTCGGGGTCAGCTGACAGGCAGAGGTGGGTCGGAAATGCTGAAGGTCTCGGAAATCGGAACTGTCGGAAATTGGAACTGGCTCAAAAGTCGGAACTTGGAAATCAGCCTAAATTTTCGGAAATCGGATTCCGACCCACCTCTGGTGTCAGGGAATTTTTTTTTTTGGGGGGGGGGGGGGCAGAGTCCACCCCTTAACAAAGAAAATTTTTTGATTTAATTAAAATTTAAGTCGGAAAAACTAATTCGAAAAATCTGAAGGTATGTATCTGTGATGAAAGCCTATGCAATACTTTTGCCTTTCTACGCTCACAAATAGATGGAAATTCTGAAGAACAACAACAACAAAGATTAATTGCCTCAGATTATGTAAGAGACCCTATTTGATTTTTTTAAATTAGGCGGATATTTATGATTTATTAAAAGTAAAGGCAAAAAAACAATACCCCGCTAAGGCACTTGTACGTAGTAAGCGCGAAACGTTTAGCAATAACCCCTAGAGATCGAACTGGGTCTGGACCAAGGCCTGGGTTTTTCCTGTACCCAGAGCCCAGGCCTTGGCATTTTTTGACCTTCCTGGGATTCTTCTGGGTCTGGGGGTTTTCCTAGGCCTGGGTTTTTCCTGGACTATAGGCCAAGGATCCGGCCTAGGTCAATAAATCAAACCCAGAGTCCAGGAACAGGTCCAGGCTTTTCAAAAATTTCGATCTCCAATAACCTCTAAGGGGTCAAAGATACCTGCCCGGGGTTAGAATTTTCTTAAACTCTCTTACTAGACTTGTTGACTCTAAAAATGGATTAGAAATTAATTTTTCCAATTTTTTAAAAAATTTTCCAGGCAGATTCAAGTGCCCTTACTCGTTGGAAAGAAACAGCAATTCTTCGAAGAGATTCCAACAACAACAACATTAGAATTGGGGAAAATATTTTGGACAGTGAGGAAAATGAACCAAATTCGAGGAGAAGGTGGATGGAAAGACAACAAAATAAACAACAAGGGGGAAGAGGGCGTGGGGCTAATTTGGTTCTTTTACTGGTTGTACTTCCTTTGGTTGTTGGGGCTTTTACGGTGAAAATTTTTTGGATTTTTTTTTTTGAAATTTTTTGGAGGGGCGCCCAAAGGCATAACTGAAAAAAATAAACAGTTATGGCGGATTAAGTTGGATTTGTTGGGATTAAGGGGGATTAAGGGACATAAGACGGATATTCTCTCGAGCAACTGTGGCCCCAAAGCCATAATTTCTGGGCTCTTGTCCAGATCAGGGGTTAGCGCATTGCGTTTTTTGCGTTGATTTTTGGACTAGCGTTGCGTTTTGCGTTTTTCACGATTGCCTCTTGCGTTCACCCCGAGTCCAGATTACGCGTCCAATCGCATTATTTAAGTACCCGGTTCTTCATTATAGTACCATAGAATCAAAGGGAATACTCGGAGATCTCATCCAGAGTTATGTTACTTACCCTACAATACCGGACCATTGATTTAAAATAACCGTGTCAGGACAATGCGTCAGTGGACAATGCGTGAGTGGAAAATGAGTCAGTGGACAATCGGTCAGTATTGATAAAACGTGATTAAAAGTGTTGATGTGAAGGGATAAAAAGTGATATAAAAGGATTAAAGATAGAATATAAACAGATTAGGAGTATTTATAAAGGGATTTTGGGGGTTTAAAAGAGATATAGAAGAATTTATTGGGATTAAGGCCGATATCACGGGTTTGGGTCGACTAACAGAGATATTAATTTGTTTGATTGGATTAAGATGGAGATCATTCGATTTGGAGAGATATCAGTGGATTTTTATCTCTTTATATCATCATTTTTAATCACTTTATATCATCAATGACCGATTGTCCACTGACGCATTGTCCGGGAGCCAAAATAACTATATATGAAACTACACTTAAATTTTTATTTAAATTTTTACAGGTTTTTCTGGTTTTCCTTAATTATCACTGCAAAATGCTCTGAAAATTTTGTTTGAAAATTTTGCTGAAATTGCCAAAGAAAAATTTTTTTATTTTAAATAAATTTTTAAAAATTTCTATATATTTTTAGGTTTAATTAATTATTTGGGATCAACCCAGAAGGTCAGGAAATCTGAGAAGGTCAAATCCAAATATTTGAGGGATAAAGAAGGATTTGAGGGGATTGAGATGGATGTGTTTGGATTAAGGAGGATTAGGGGACATAAGACGGATATTCTCTCGCTCAACTGTCGGGTAAGGCAAAAGGAAACAGGCAAACATATTCTTGATCCTATGTCACCTTTACCGCCCAAATATTTGGATTTGATGGGTAATTTGACTTCCTGTGGCAAAATTACTAGAGGTGCTCACTAACGGGGTGGAAAGTCACAGGGAAAATTTTCGGGGAGCCAGCGCCACGGGAGGGGGACTCAAATTCCTCGACTTTCAGATACTGGGTAAACTGCCAAAATTACAAACCCGTAATTATCTTCTGAGGGTTTTGACCTTCTGGGGTCGTCCCTATTGTTTCTATAGTTGTCATTTAAAATTTAAATTTATATTTTATTATTTTTTAATTAAATTAATTTTAAACCCTCAAGAATAGTTAAAGCAGGAACGGGTTGGGTTCTACAAAAATCTTTTTCATACACTTAAAAAAATTTTTTTATTAAAAAATTTTAAATAGCTATAAACATCCTCTATAAAAAATTTTAAAAATCAATTGCTGCCCTTCTCAGAGTGTAAATGCGCATGATGGCTAGTCAATGAATTGCAATGTGGATGTTTTATTTTTACGGAAATCCAATCAATTAAATTTATTTTAAATTACAAACTACAATTTAATTCTTTGAAAATGAAAAGTGCAACCACCTGATAATTAGACATGGCATCCTGCGCCGGCGTAGCTACCCTTATTTTAACTCCTCTCCCTCCATCTCCCCCATCCTCTCTCCTCATCCCGTCTCCCCTATCCTCCCCCCTCCACTCTTCTCTCCCTTTCCTCCCTCATCCCCTTCCCTCTGCTTATCCTCTCCCCCTACTCATCCCCTCCCTTCCCCATCTCCACATCCCCTCCCTCCTCCCCTCCTCTTCCCCTCTCCACATCCTTGAGAGTGAGGTGTTTTGAGTGGACGCGTTCACCCCCTCTCTCCCCCTCCCCTTTCCTCTCCTCCTTTCCTCTCCTCCTCTCCTCTCCCCTCGTCTCTCACCCTCTCTTCCTCCCCTCATCCCCTCCCTCCGCCCCTCCCCTCCCCTCATCCCCTCTCCTCCTCTGATCTCCCCTCCTCCCTTTTCCACATCTTTCTCCTCTCATCCCCTCACCTCTCCACGTCCCCATCCCCCTTCCACTCACCTCTCCCTCTCCTCATCCCCTCCCTTTTCCACGTCCTCCTCCCCTCATCCCCTCCTCCTCTCCCCCTCCCCTCGTCTCTCATCCCCTCTCCTCTCTCCCCTCTCCTCGTCTCTTCCCTCCCCCTCTCCACATCCACATCCCCTCATCCTCCCTCTCTCCACATCCACATCCCCTCTCCTCTCTCCCCCTCCCCTCATCTCTCCCCTCGTCTCTCCCTCCCCTCATCCCCTCCTTAGATCCTCCCCTCTCCACATCCCCTCCCCTCTCCCCCTCATATAAAAGCGGATTTCACATAATCAGCTATCATTTAATTTTAAAAAAATTTAAAAATTACAACAACTCAAACAAAAAATGTCAAAATTCGTTTGTTTCCTACTGATAGTCGTTTTTGTTTATATACAACTTTGTGATTGTGGAAAGGATAAAAAAGTTGTTAGTGATGATGATAAAGGTGTTAGTGAGGATAAAGGTGATAAAGGTGATAAGAAAGGTGTGTTAAAATTATTCAGTTTTGAGATAATAAAAATAATAATTAAATTAAGGAAAAGGCCATTTAGGCGTCAACAAGGGCGGATCTTCTTCACCTATAGGTAGCTTTGAAAATTTGGAAAAATTTATATAAAAATGGATAAACATGGTATCACGACTTTTGCGCCGAGAACATTTGCGCCGCGACTTTTGCGCCGCGACTTATGCGCCGGGCGACTTTTGCGCCGCGAATTTTGCGCCGCGTCTTATGCGCCGGGCGACATATGCGCCGCGACTTTTGCGCCGGACGACTTATGCGCCGCGACATTTGCGCCGCAATAATTTTAAAAAATAATATCTACAGTCGGACCTAATTATAGTGTACTCTTTAAAAAATGGTATCCAGGAGCTGAAGGAATTTCAGAAGTACAATATTTTGGGAAGTATAATAGCCCCCTCTAATAAACCGACCCCCTAGAGGAAGTTTGAAAAAGAAACCGACCCGTGTCATCTTCAAAAAACTTCACTTTTTCAAATCAGGATGTTTGGTCTGCTACCCCTATTCAAGCATGATTTTCTGCCAGAAGAGGGTACACTATAGTGTAGGGTTTTTGGGTCCAGATATCCGGATCTAAAAAAGGCCGGATAGCCGAAAATTTTAGGTCGGATATCGGATCTGGATCTTGCTATCCGAAGATCTCCAACTATCCTACATCATATACAGTGAGGTCCGGTTGTAGTTTTTCACAATTATTAATGATAGTGGCGGCGCAAAAGTCGTCCGGCGGAAAACTCGCGGCGGGTAAATGTCCAGTTGACTCCCCACCTGTCCGCAAAGAGAATGCGCAATTTTCACTCCTTTTCTTGCATTTTTTCTTTAAGGAGAGGCGCCCATTTTTCCTTTATGTATGGTATGCCCTTTAACTCATGAAAAGATAAGTAGAGAAAAATATAATAATAAATTGAAAAAAATTTGGGCTAATTTTATTTATTTTTCTAAAAGATCAGGGGCTACAACATTTTAATGATTATAATATAGGAATGAGAGCCGTCTGCTATTTGACAAATCAGCTTCCATTAAATGCTAGATCGGCCGGCTTTAAAACCGAAATTTTTAAGATGTTTTGCCAAAAATTAACCTTTATATGAAATTTTAAAAACCAATAAACAGAAATTTATAAAAATGAGCGAATTAAAAAAATTCCGCAGAATAAAACCGGTATGTGACTAATAATCAGAGCCGAAAACAGGGTTTTTGAAATTTGAATTAATTAATCTAATTATTATTATATTTTTCTCTACTTATCTTTTCATGAGTCAAAAGGCATACATAAAGGAAAATGGGCGCCTCTCCTTAAAGAAAAAATGCAAGAAAAGGAGTGAAAATTGCGCATTCTCTTTGCGGATAGGTGGGGAGTCAACTGGACATTTACCCTCGCGGCGCAAACGTCGCCCGGCGCAAAAGTCCCCCGGCGCAAAAGTCGCTCGGCGCACAAGTCGCGGCGCAAAAGTCACGGCGCATAAGTCGCGGCGCAAAAGTCACGGAACCATAAACATATTAATTTTTGACTTTTTTGGTAAAAGTCGTGTTCGGATTTTTACCTACTGGTAAACCTCTAAAATATTAAAAAGCGCTTCCTCTCAAGGAACACAAAACTGAAATTAACCTAAACGAATATTTTATTTTTAAAGATAAGAAACCCAACAAAGCAATTGCAAGTTGGAAAAAAATTTTAGACAATACACCGGTAAACGCTTAAATTATAACATGTATTTAGTGTGTAGCTAGAATTTATAACTTCCAAATTGGGAGGTATTCAGGGTATATATCGGAAATTTTGAAACGCCTGGGCCTGTTCCTGGGTTCCGGGTTTGATTTATTGACCTCGGCTGGATCCTGGGCTTGTAGTCCAGGAAAAACCCAGGCCCAGGAAAACCCCCGGAAGGTCAAAAAAATGCCTGGGCCTGGACTCTGGGTACAGGAAAAACCCAGGCCGTGGTCCAGACCCAGGCCGATCTCTAGTACATATCCCTTTTATCTCATCCCTTTTTTATGTCAGTTATTGCTAGGCGCTGTCACTCACCACGTACAGGTGCTCTACCGACTGAGTTACCGGGACGCCGTTTTCACCTTATAGATAACAAGTCTAGTACGCATTTTAAATGCTAGCCAGCTAGATAGCTTCCTTATAATTGCCTCCTTTATCTCTGAAAATTTCTGCCTGTGGCTGATTTTTAAACCCACCCCTCCCCCCGTCGGGGAACAACCCTAGTGATCATACGGCACACCGAAAAAAACTCGAAAAAAGTCCAGGTTCTAAGAGTAATTATACCAATAAATACATTCGGATCTCACTTTCGGCCTTCTGAATTAGAATTTTAAAATATGTATAAGTATTATTTTAAAAGCAATTTTTGATTAAAAATGAAAATTAATTTAAGAAAAAAAAAAGAGAAGAAGTGATTTTGAATTTGGGGAGCTTGAGCGTTAAGGGCAAACAGCCTGAAGACAAAAAACCTGAAGACGACCAACCTGAGGACATGCAATCTGGCACTAAGTGAAGTTCTGTTTTTACAAGAAGCATTTTTGAAAGAATTCCGAGTTTAGTATATGCCGATTATTATTTATAGAGTTCGAATCCGGACCGGATCCGTTAATCCAGAATCCGGGTATTTTGAACAAAAATACCCGGATGTCAGAGTGATACTCTTGTGTTACCCCCCCCCCCATTTTTCCAAATTTGAGATAAAGTCCGATTGAATCTTATATCATTCGAAAGCCCTAGATAAGCGCTATCTATTTCCAACTGAATCGACAAAGTAAGATCGTCCATTAAAGAGTTATAATTTAAATAAGTGTCAAAAACAACCATATCTTGCACTTATTGAGCTGTAACCGGGCCAACTTACCGCCGAGCTATAACTTTGTTCAAAATTGTCGAATCCGGGATGCCCTGATATGGTTCGATTCAGCTCGTCATGACGCATCGAACATATCAGGGCGTCCCGGATTCGATAATTTTGAACGAAGTAATAGCTCGGCGGTAGGTTGGGGTGTACCCCCCCCCCTGCCTAGTGAGCGTTTTAAATTACACTATTTACTTGATCTGTCCAAAATAAGGGGTAGATAATACAAGAGTACCGTCTGAATTCCCGGATTTTGTTCCGGAAACCCCGATCAGGATAAAAAAATTTTTTTTGAAATCCGGCTCCCGGATCCGGCATTTTTCAAATGTCCAACTCTATGTATTTATTTTCCATTTTTTTATTTTATTCCAAAAAACATTTAGAAATTGCTCGGATAAAAAGATTTTGAAAATTATTGAGAAATATATACCCAAAATAGTCAAAATAAACCTGTGGGAGTCGGCGAGACGCAGGGAGTCAACCTTCGCTGGGATCTGAACCAGCAACACAAACCTATTCCTTTAACCGATTTTTAGCCTTAAAGTGCCAACCTACTAGTGTTGCGCCGGAATTTCCGGTTCCGGATCCGTTCGAAATTTCAGTTCCGACACAACACTACAACATACCCCCGAGTAGTAGAACAAAAATAAGTTTCCCCATCAAAAATTCAAATGGTCATAACTTTGTCCAAACATGTGCTTCTGGTGTCATAGATTTTGGTGTCGTCGACTCAGCTCGATGAGCCCTTTTGACTGAAATATAATTTGATCGGATTAAAGTTTATTTAATATCAAACCCAAGTTTTCCATTTTCTCTTATTTAAATTTAATTTTTTTATTTCCCTTTATTATTATTTTTTTTCAGAAAAAAAATTTTTTTCCACTTTAAAAATATTAAAAAATGAAGACTTTATTTTTTTATTATTATTTTACCCCATTCGTGTCTAAATAATAAATATTTAAAAAATAATAATAATTCTCCAACACTTCCTTTTGGCAGTAAATGAATAAATCCTTTCTCCCCCTCTGGCACTAAACCGTTAATAAATAAAATTTTTCTCTAAAGGATTGCAATATTTTCCTTATTTTTTTAACCAAATGAATTTTTTTATTATTAAAAAAAATTTTTTTTTGAATTTTTACTTTAAAATCGGAAATTTAATTTATTTTAAAGACGGTAAAATGCCCCCCCCCCCCATAAAACAAAACAATCATTAAAATGATCGGTGGTTAAGTGGTTAATAGCCTTGTATCGGAGAGCTCTTTAGTTTAGGATTAGGTTCTGTATTTATTCTTTAAATTCTCTTTTAAAAAAAAATTTTTTTATGAGATATGGTAAAAGAGAGGTAGAGTAAAAGGTAAAGTCTAGCCCCAAGCAGGCAACGACCTCCTAATATACGAACCTTCGGCCTCCTAATATTTATTGCTAGGCGTTTCAGCTCACTAAGTACATAAAGGTGCAATCCTGGCAAGAGCTCTTTCGAAACAAAAAGCAACTTCGAAACTCAAAAATCTTTTCCAAACTCTTCACATCGAAGTTTTGAACTGAGTGCGGCTTCTGAGTTTCGACTTTCACCTTCCAATTTTAACCCCCCTTATTAAAAACGTTTTAAACGCTAAAGGGGCCTTCGCCCCAGGCAGGCATCGAACCTTCGACCTCCTAGTATTTATTGCTAGGCGCTTTAGCTCACCAAGTAAAGCTGCTGTCCTGCCCAAAGCTGTTTCGAAACAAAGAAATCTTTGAAAATCGAAAATCTTTTCCAAAATCTTTAAATCGTAATTTCGAAACAACTCTGGTGCTGATTGCGGCTTCTGGGCTGCGGCACCTTCCTTTAATAAATTTTAAACCTCCGCCAAACCCTTTTAAACGCTAGAGGAAACCTTCCTTTCTTCCTTCCAATTTTTCTTAAAAATTTTTAATAGTCCACTAATCAATCAATTAATTTTTATATAAAAACATGACATTGGCCAATTAAAAAAATAAAATTAGAGAAGCAGTTGTTGTTAAATATACCTATATTTTTTAGTTAAACATTTTTCTCTTCCAAGGCAGCACAGCTGGCACAGATTTTACCCGATCATTCTCACATATTTTTTCTAATTTTTTTTTGTTTTGTCAGCATTAAAAAATTCTTTCTTTCTCTCTCTTTTTTAATAATTCCATAAATCTTCCCAAATATTTTTAATAATAATTTACTTTACTTTATGTATTTAAAGAGTACATTTTTTTAAATTAAATTCGTGTGTATCCCAAATAATTTTTTTAAATGATTTATTGGGGTTTATATAGACTTTTAAAAATAAATTAGAAAATTTTCTTTCGAAAAATGTCTAATTTTATTCTTTTAAGTACAGAAAAAAATTAAGGGGACCCGAGCGGGTTCGAACCCACGACCCCTTAAATTTATACAATTTGTATTCATTGGGATAATTTTTGTTAATAAAAAATTCTAAATAAAGTCAAAACTCATTTTTTTATTTAAAACAAAATTTTAACGAAGAAAACCAAAGCTTAAAAAATTAAGGGCCCCGAGCGGGGTCGAACCCACGACCTATTAAATCTAAAAAATTCAATGTCTCGGGTCTTTAAAAGTTTTTTTTAATTCCGGAGGGACTGGAAAAGATTTTTCAGATCATTTCTTATTTTTAATAATTTTTAAAAAATGTTAGGAATGTTTAAGAGTTAAACTTATTTTTATTTTCTTTAATCTCTCTCCTCCCACACAACAATTGGTCTACTATTCTTTTAGAATTTTTAAAGTGAAACAAAATTATGTAGACAATTAATTATTACATTAAAAAAAATTTTTTTAATATTTCTGATATGATTAGAATATTTTTTTCATTAATATCAACAAAAAATTTTTAAAATATTTAACCTTGAGGGGGTCGTGGGTTCGAACCCGCTCGGCGCCCATTAATTTTTTTAAAGTTGTTTCTCGTCATAAACTTTATCTTTGGTAATAAAAATGAGTTTTGACTGTATTCCGGATTTTTTAAAAAGATAAAACTAAAGAGAATATTTTTTTAATATTTCCAAAAATGGATAATTCGATTAATAACGTTAATTTCATTTAATAGAGAGATCAAAGAATACATCAAAAATTTTTTTGCAATTAAAAATCAAACACAACTTTAGTAAATTAATTTGACATTTTAAAATTAGTGTAAAAAATTTTTTCATTTATAATTTATAATTTAATAATTTGTTGAAAACTTTTCGAGAGTAGTTTTCATTTTATTGTAGGCGGTAAATTTGCATGTAAAAAATTATTTAAAAATTATTCCCATAGATTTTTAAAACTTTATTTTTTAATTTTATTTTTTTGAAATTTTAAAATTATTTAAAAATTATTTAAAAAAATTTTAAAATTGCTTTTGATAAAATATGTAAAACTATTTTTTAAATTAATATAAACAAAAATAACAAATTCAAGGGGTCGTGGGTTCGAACCCGCTCGGGGCCCGTTAATTTTCTAAAACTTGTTTTACATCTTAAACTTTATTTTCGTTAATAAAAATAAGTTTCGACCGTAATATGGATTTTTAAAGAAATAATACTGTATAAAATATGTTCATTTTTAAATATTTTGATAATCTTAAGGGGTCGTGGGTTCGAACCCGCTCGGGGCCCGTTAATTTTTTAAAACTTGTTTTTCTTCATAAACTTTATTTCTGGTATGAAAAACGAGTTTTGACCATATTCCGAATTTTCCCACAGATTAAAAAAAATTTTTAAAGGTAAATTAATATTTAAATGGTAGTTAACAATGCCGAGACAGTAATGGAATTAGAGCCTATAATTCCACAACAAAGGTTAGGGGACAATTCTCCTTCTACTGTTTTACCCAATGGATCAACAGAAAAAACAACAAATTCGAGAAAACGTTCAACTCAACATTCGACGCCCGAACGGGATAAATGGTCCTCCTGGGCAGATTTTATTATGTCCTGTGTTGGATATGTGAGTTGTATAGAGGGTGAAAGGGGTTGGATAAATTTCTGGAAAATTAAAAAAAAAATTTCAAAATGGTAAATTTTCAAAATGTCAAAATTTCAAAACGTCAAAATTTCAAAATGGTAAATTTTCGGAACATTAGAGTCTGACCTCAGTATACTACTCTCTGGGACTGAAAAAGTCCCTTATAACGTGGGTATCTTAAATAGAGGGTATCTTTAAGTAGCAAAAGTTAGGGGATAACCACCCAGTAGCCACCCCTTTCTAAATTAAATTTTTTTTAATTTCTCCCCAAAAATTTCCCCTCTTTTCCAGGCAATCGGCCTAGGCAATGTTTGGCGCTTCCCCTATCTGTGCTATCAAAATGGAGGAGGAGCTTTTCTAATCCCTTATATAATAACAATTTTGCTTTGTGGTGTTCCTCTTTTTATTTTGGAAACTTCTTGGGGCCAATTAGTTTCTGTTGGAGGCCTTGGAATGTTTAAAATATGCCCTATATTTAAAGGGGTTGGAATTGCTGCTGTTGTTATGGCTTTTTGGTTTGGCTTTAAAATTTCAAAAAAAATTTTCAAAAAAAAAATTTCAAAAAAAATTCAAAAAATTTTTAAAAATTTTCAAAAAATTTTTAAAAATTTTTAAAAAAATTTTCAAAAAAATTTTTTAAAGGCTTAACATTTATTATATTGTGGTGCTAAGTTGGGCTATGGCTTATTTAGGTGAGCGAAAATTTTTTTAAATTAAAGAAAAAATTTTTAAAATATTTTAGTTCATTCTCTACGGGTAGACTCTAATGTCCCTTGGAGGACTTGCAATAACACGTTAGTTAGAGAAAAATAAATTTGAATTTTTTAATTAAATTAAATGGTCAGTTCAGTGCGGGTATTTGAGTGTCAACCAGCTTTGATTAACCATAACTTTTTCAGTTCTGATCCGATCCGAATGAATTTTATATCATTCGAAAGCTCACGAAAAGCAGTATATTTTTTCCAATAGGATGGATTAAATCTTATCACTCATTAAAAAGTTACAACACGAACAGTGCAATTATTCGGTGTTTTTCACGTTTATCTGATTATAACTTTATAAGAAGCGATCAGACTTGATCCTTCCAATTGGAAAAAATATTCTGCTTATCGCGGGCTTTCGAATGATATAAGATATATTCTTGTTGGGTGAAGAATAAGAAAGTTATAGCCGTTCAAAGCTGGTCGACACTCAACTTGCCCGCACTCAACTGGCCATTTCCAATTTTAAAAATTTCGCTCAAAATTTGAAATTTAAATTTTCTAGTCTTTTTTCCCCTCTAATTTTCTTTCTAAAATTATTTTAGATGGAATACCTACCGATGTCGGTCAGAATATGATCCAGTAACTTGTGAAAATAATCGTTCAATTGCTGATTATTTTAACGTTAAAGTTAATTTTTTGAAAATTTTTTTTAAATTAAAAAATTTTTTTTTAAAAGATATTAACAGCCGACCATTTAAATGAATACAAAAAACAATTTTTTATTGGTCCTAAAGTTAATTTTACAATATGTACGGAAGCGGATATGAATGTACACTCTCCCGTCAAGGAATTTTGGGAGTAAGTTTATTTTTAAGTTTAAATAAATTTTTTTTTATTTTGAAAATTTTTTGAGGATTTTTAAAAAATTTTGTAAAATTTTTGAAAAGTTCAAAAATATTTTTAAATTATGCCAAATAAGTTTTGACGTTTTAATTTGCAAAAATAAATTGATTAGCCCCCAACGGACTCAAACCCACACCCTATTCTTAGGGTTTCTAGAAAAGGCAAAGAGCTTAACCATTACACCACGTCGCACTTTATCTAAATATTTTAATATTCATATTTAAATAATTCGAATTTATTTAAAATATTTTCTCTTATAAGCACGGGTTTTTAAATTTTACTAAAATCTTAAAAAATTAAATTTTTAAAAATTTTTAAAACATATTTCTACTCAATTTTCAATACTTTTTTTTATTCATTTTTAAATTCTTCATTTATTTTTTCAAGTCGTCGAGTATTGGGTATTAGCACAGGAATTGAACATGTCGGCTCTTTAAGGCACGATTTAGCCTTGTATTTAATGATTTGTTGGATGATTTGTTATTTTTGTATTTTTAAAGGGGTTAAATGGACCGGAAAGGTTTCTTAAAAATTTATTTTTAATTTTAATTAATTAAAAAAGGTTGTTTATTTAACCGCGTCTTTCCCTTATTTGATGCTCTTTTGTTTGTTAATACGTGGATTGTCGTTAGAGGGTGCTAGTTTAGGCCTAGAGTGAGTTGAAAAAAATAAAATTGGGTTGAAAATTTTTTGTGGAGAATTTAATAAATTTAAACAAATTAATTTTCAATTCTGCGGACAAAAAATTTTTGCGGATTTTTTGCGGACAATTTTTTTGTCCGCAAATTTTTTGTCCGCAAAATTTTTGCGGACAAAGCATAGCCAACAACCATTACTATTCCAAAGCCTTCGTGAAATTCTGTAAAAGTATCAGGCGTTCTTTGAAAATTATTTGTTGAAATTTTGTCCGCAAGTTTTGTCCGCAAATGTCATAAAAAAAATTAAATTTTCAATTTAAAACAAAATTTAAACCGAAATTTAAAAAATATTTTTCTTCTCTAATTTTTTTAAAATTTTTCTACAGATTTTATTTAAAACCAGACTTTTCCAAACTTTTTGAAAGCAAAGTTTGGGTAGATGCAGTCACTCAAGTATTTTTCTCTTATGGACTAGGTCTGGGTGCTTTGGTTGCTTTAGGCTCTTACAATAAGTTCCATAATAATGTTTACAAGTTTGTTTTTCTTCTTAAATTTTTTTAAAATTTTTTAAAAATTATTTTAGACAGGCACTGACTGTTTGTTGTGTAAATAGTGGAACTAGTGTATTTGCAGGTTTTTATTAAAAAATAATTTTTTACTTAATTTTAAATAATTTTTAAAATTCGAAAATAGATTTTTAAGTATTTAGAAAAAATTTTAAAATTTTTCTAGACCTTAAAAATTTATTGTAGATCAAAAATTTACAAAAATAACCCTTAAAAATCGATTTCCAGCCCAAGGGGTTCGAACCCAACTCCTCCACCCCCAAAACCTAAACTCCTAACCATTACACCACAACCGCTCTTATCACTAATTAATTAATTTAATTATTTATAGGCTTTGTTATTTTCTCCTTTATTGGATTTATGGCTAATCAACAAGGAAAAACAGTAGATGAAGTGGCCCAGTCTGGGCCAGGATTGCTTTTCTTGGCATATCCTTCAGGTTTATTTTTTTTTATTTTTATAAAAAAAATTTTTAAGGAATACTTCAATTACCCTATACAAATATTTGGTCAATTTTATTTTTTTGTATGGTGCTATTTTTGGGGGTTGATTCACAATTTTGTACTATGGAAGGATTTTTTACTGCAATAATTGATGAATTCCCCCATTTAATTAGAGGAAGGCGTTATGGCAGGGAAATTTTTGTTTTGAGTATTTGTGTAATTTCTTATATTTGTGGGTTGTCTACAGTTACTGAGGTTTGTTTAGGGGGGGAATTTTAGGGTTCTCAAATCGCCATTTGGGAAAATGACAAAACGTCCATTAAGAGGAAATTTATCAAAATGTCCATTAGGGTAAATTTTTTCAAAATGTCCATTAAGAGGAATTTTAGAAATGTCCATTATGGAAGGTTTTTCAAAACGTCCAATAAGGGGAAAATTGTCAAAACATCCAAGAAGGGGAAATGTTCAAGTCCACTAGGGGGTAAAATTGTCAAAACGTCAACTTAGGGGGAAATTGTCAAAACGTCCAATAAGGGGAAATTTCCCAAAACGTCCGTTAAGCACAAATTTTTTCAAAATGTCCATTAGGGGGAAATTTCTCAAAATGTAAAACAATAAAAATTTTAGGGTGGTTTTTACGTCTTCCAATTATTCGATTTTTACGCTGCTTCTGGTTGGGCGCTTCTTTGGCTTTTATTCTTTGAATGTATAGCAATTTCTTGGAGTGTAGGAATTGATCGTTGGTATGACCATTTATACTCGATGATTGGTTATTATCCAAGTAAATGGTGGAAATTTTGTTGGGTTTTTACTACACCTGCTGTTTGTATGGTAAATTAATTTTTTTTAATTTTGCGGACAAAATTTTTTTGCGGACAGAATACTCCTTAAAAAAGTCCGCAAATTTACATCTAATTTTGCGGACAAAATTTTTTCAAGAGAGTCCGCAAATTTAATGGGACTTTTGTGGGCAATATTTGCAGATAAAATTCTTTTAAGAAAAGTCCGCAAATTTTTGCGGACAATATTTGCGGACAAAAAAATTTTATTTCAAATAATTTATAGGGTGTAATGATTTTTGGTTTATTCAAATACCAACCTCTACGTATAGCTGCTTATAATTATGATTATCCTCTTTGGGGGCATATTTTTGGTATTTTTACTTAATTATTTGCCAAAAAAGTATTTTTATTAAAGGCTGGTTTTTGTCACTTTCTTCAATGCTTTGTATACCCATTTATGCTATTTATGCTTGGATTGTTACAGAAGGAACTGTTTCTGAGGTTTGTTTTCTAATTTATTCTTTGCGGACAAGATTTCAGAAAAATCCGCAAGTTTTAGGGATTTTTGCGGACAATACTTGCGGACACGATTTTCATAAAATATGTCCGCAAATTTAAAGTCATTTTTGAGGAGAGATTTTCTTAAGAAGGCTGCAGATTTTAAGGAAATTTGCGGACAGAATTTACGATCAGATTTTCCCAAAAAAATTTTTTGCGGACAATATTTGCGGACAAAAAAATTTTTTTTCTTATAGAAATTCAAAAAACTATTCCGACCGGATGTTGATTTAATAAGCACAACAGATGGCAAAAATCATCTAAATACTCATACAAAACCTGTTGCTGATGGAATTTGTGACGGGGATGTTTTTGAATAACACAAGTTTTTTTAAAAAGGAAGAGAAAAAGATCTCTAAAAACCTCAAAAATATTTTTTAAATATATTCCTTTCTAAAATATTTTTTATTTTTAGTCTCTCCCCCAAATTAATCTTTTAGAATTTTCACAATTTCTAATCCTTTTAGATTTTTTAGAAAAAAAATTATTTTTATATTTAAATTTTTTAATATTTTTCTTAATAAAAATTAATATTTTTTCACAAATTCTCAAAAATAAATTTGATTTTTTAAACCGGACTTTAAAACCAGACCCAACTTCAGAATAAACTCGTCTAATAGCCAGAAAGTGGTTTGGAAAGATTAACCAAATTGTCAATAGTCGATTGTGTCCATTCCTGATATTAATCCGGGATTTAACGGTTTACTCGAAATTCGGACTTTTTCGACCCGAACTGAAAAAAATTTCCAAGACCCAACTTTTTCTTATCCCTTGACATCCCTGATATCAACCAAACAAAGGCTAATTTAATTTATTTGAATATGCTACCGCCAGGGATTGAATCTCTGGGGCTTTATTTAATTTTTTCAGGCTAAAAACTTGATGCTTTTTTAATGTTTTAATTTCCAAAAAAATCTTTCTTTTTATTGCATTTATAATTTTAGATTTTAAAAATTAATACAGAATATTATGCTTAAAATTTTTTTCCTTACCCACCACTTTAATCATCGCCTCTCCTCATTTTCATTTAATTCATCTATTATATTTATTGCTGTCAATTCTTCATTATTTTCTTCATCATCTTTAGGAGGTAAAGTTTGTTGAAATTGTGCAAATTTGTAAGGCCTTTCCTCCTCCTCAAATCCCCCAAATCCTTTTGTTAATTGTGGACTTGAAGGGGATTCATGTAGTTGTTTTTGGTTGTTTTCTGGCGGGGAATTAATTGCATTGCTAGCCATTAATCGTTCGTTTAACATTCTCAAAGCTTTTTGTCTGGAAAAAAAAAGAAAAATTGAAAGAAAATTTTATTTTAATTTGTCCGCAAAAATATTTGCGGACAAATTAAAAAAATTTTTTTGCAGGCCCAACAACCATAATCAAAAATATAAACGATTTTAATTAATTTTTGAATACAGGGGATTTAATAAAAAAATAGAAAGGGATCAAACATCTCAAAGATTAAAAATTTAGAAGGCCAAAAGGGCATCCCCTAACTCAGGCCCGTAGTCAGGATTTTTTTCGGGGGGGGGGGGGGGGGGGGGCAAGGGGGGAAAATTTTTCTGCGCCAAATTTTTGGCGCCGCAGGCGAAATTTTTGAGAATTCTAGAAGGCCAAAGGCCAAAAAAATTCATTTTTTCAGTGCCACAGGGGCTGAAAAAGAACCCTCCTGGCTACGGACCTGCCTTAACTCTCCCACATTGGATCCGTGTCGAGCGTTGAGTGTCACGTGTTTTAACACTCGAAAAAATACGGGGGGCATTCAAGTGTCTACCGAATTTCTTAAAAAAATAATTTCCAAATTAACCTTTTCCTTTCCGAATCCCAACCTTCCGGTGCCAACACAGCAGTCCCAACACTTTTAACTTGAATACATTCCAATGCTTCCATTTGAAGACTGTTCTCTTGCATATAATCCAAATGTTCTTTTCCAATAACTCGTTTTAACAATCCAAAACGATGAAGTGAACGAAATGTAAAACGGCCAATTAAGGTAGCAAAAGGTTGAATAATTCTTGGGAAGAAACTGGAAAAATGAAAATGAAAGGAAAAAATTTTTAAGAGAAAAAAAAACCTTGCCCAACAAAAATGTTCACTTCGATCACCAACTACTTGTTCACCCATACCACCTCTTTCTTGAAAAAATCGTAGATATGTCCAGCTGATTTGAAGAGATAACCTTAATGTTGAATAAATTATTTTATGACAAAAAACAATTTTTTTAAATATTTCTAACGGAAAGAATGATACTAAAGAAAAGAATGAACACCCCGATTCGCTGCAATTCGACTCCGTTGGAGGACTCAAAGTTAAAGCCCAACGATGGAGTGGATTTCGCAGCGGATTTGACTGGTTCCAGTGATCGATTACTACATAAGTATTACTGGGTATGACCCCGTAAGCTAGCTCCGGAACCGAATACGTTCGAAACCGATTTGAAAAGGTCAGAGCCGAAGCCACAAAATACCCAAAACTGCCCAGCAAACGTGGGTCGGAACAGTTAGAGGTGTCGGAAACTGGAAGAGCCGGAAATCGGAACTGGCTCAAAAATACGAATCCGGAAATCAAAATTTTTTCGGAGGAAGGAAAAAACGTTGGAAGTCCGAATTCCGACCCACCTCTGCTGCCCAGTACCTCTAAAAATAATTTTAAAATATTTTTTAGTCAAATTTTAAACTAATAAAATACGTAAATTGGACGGCGTGTTTTATAAAATTAAAATATTTAAAAAAAACTAAACAAACATAATTTGAAAAATAACAGTCCCTCTAACAAGTCCAATTATCCAACATATCAAAAACACAAAGAACGAACAAATCGGTAAATGTCCATTTTTTAGTCTTCCATAGGGTGTAGTAAAAAGAACTGTGTCTGGTAAAAACTTTAAAAAAAATTTTTTTAATTTAATTAAAAAAATAAACTTGTTTAAGAGCAATTAATGCAGCCATTGCTAACGCACAACTTCCAAAAATTTCAATTTTATAAAAGGTATAAACTACGCTTGTTGAGATAAACAAAAGTAAAGAAAATATTACAAGCAAAAATGTTGAGGTTAGCTGTAAAAAAATTAATTTTAAATAAATTAAACAAAAAAACATGATAAGGGAGGGAAGTCAGAAAAGGATAACAAGCCAAATAATAAAATCGGAATTAGGGTTGTCCATTTTTGGAAAGTCATTGGAAATAAGGAAATGAACCAAACAAATCCACAGTCGGTTCGGTTCAAAAAATCCTCAAATTATATGGAATATGAGAAAATCATGATGAAAAAATGAGCCAAACTAACAAATAGAAAAATCGTGGAACAAAAATTTTGATTTGGGTTTCGGTTAACAGAAAAATCTCTACAACTGGTACCCCCAAATGAGCTACATAAAGCACAGATATCAGATAAATGGAAGTGGAAACGAAGAAAAAATTGGTTGAAAATTAAGCGAGATGGTCCAATTACTAGGTGGAAAAAATAGAAAATTAAACCTGCACAATCACAATAAATTTGAGCGATTCTTTAACAGACCAATTTGGTTGAATATACAAAATAAATTGGTAAAAACAATAGGATGACCAGAGAAGTACTGGAAAGAAAAAATTTTTGAAAAAAATTTTGAAGAAAAACTTTTCCACAACTTTTCGATAAATCTTTAAAAATTTCAAAGAAATTTCAAAAAAATTTTCTAAAAATTTAAACAAATTTAAAAACCTATCAAATTCCTCTCCACAAACAAATTTGTAATTAACCGCCATAGATGAAGATAAAAAAGAGTGCTAGGCACGAGAACCAACAAATCAGAAATTGGTTTGAATAAAGAAATGAAAAAACCTTTAAAAATAAAATTAAAAAATTTTTAAAAATAAACCTATAAATTGAACTAGTATCACATATTTGAAGAAAGGGTTTGCTTCCAAATTAGGGCGAATATATAAATTAAAATAATTTTGTAGATTGTTCATTTGCTTTAAAAAATTTTCTAAAAAAATTTATTTAAAAAATTAAAAGGGAGAATCTCAACAATAGATAAATCATGAGGTGACTCTACAATCATGGGGTGACTCTCCAAAATAATTTTTTTTAATTACAGCAAAATATGGAAAAGACAATCAACTAGACGTTGATTGTCCAGCATCAAAGGTGGAGTAAAAATAACCCAAAATGGGTTGGATGGGGGCACAGTCGATAGCGCCTCGATTTTGAACATAGTTTTAGCGTTAATTTGGGACCCTATCTATTCTATGTCCCACCCAATAAAATTTTCTACAACACGAAAATAAATTCAAAGTGGAGTAAAAAATATAAGGGGAATCGAAATTTCGGTGGAACCCTGTCCGGAATAATTTTGGACTGCCCAAAAAATTTTTTTACTAATTTGCTCACTAAAAGGGCTTAATTATTAAAATAGAAAAGTCATCAAAAATAAAACAAAAAAATATTGGTCATCCAAATAAATTAATTAATAAAAACAAAAATTCCAATACATAAAAAATTTTATTCATTAAAATGATAGGCTTCAATTCTCTTCAACATGAGCACATATTAAAAAAGAGAAAAAAATTTATATATAATTGGTGGAAATACCATGGTCTGAAAAAAGAATTTTCCTTGAAAAAACGTTAATTTTAGACTCTCAAAATTTCTCCTTTTTCTGGTTTAGGAACCAAAAAAATGAAAAAAAGAAAAATTAATTTTAAAAAATAATATTAAAAAATTATACATAAACACAATTTTTGTCCAATTTTGTCGGTTATTCAAAAAAAAATTTTTTTGGGGGCCAAAAAGGTAACAAAAAATTATGAGTGAAAGCGAAAATATTTTTTTAAACTTTTCATTAAATAAAAAAAAACTTTTTGTTTGTTATTTTCCAAAATATATAAATTTTTCCACATCAATCGAGGTATTGGGATAACCAACGAAAACCTTCACCATATCCTTGTCGACGAAGCACCGAACACATAAATACTTCAAGAGGTCGAGTTGCCAAATCGGCACGAGAAACGTTTCCTTTGCCTTTAAAAATGATAAATTCTTAAAAGAGAAAATATAAAATTTAATGGCTACCAAAAAATTAAATTTTTAAAAATTTTCAAAAAAAAAATTCTCGAAGGGGTAGGAAAAAGTATTCTCAAAAATTAAGAAAAAAAATTATATTTGTGTAAGACATAAAGGTTTACAATTAGAAGGCTGAACATAAATATAACATAAATGACTAAACATAAATATAATATAAAATGAACTCTTGAAAAGCGGATGAAAATTGCGGACAAGAGACACCCTTGCGGACCTTCTCCTAATTTCTCTTCGTTACCCTATTTTTCCTTTGGAATGGGAATACAAATTTTCGCCCATTTTTAATAAAACGAAAATTAAAAAAAATTCTTTAAAAAATTAAAAAACAAACCTGTGCAATATTGCTGAATTCCCAAATAATATTTAAGCTGGTCCTCACCCAACGCATTCACTTTGTCAATTTTATTTCCCAAAACCAATATTGGTGCACTAGACACTTGCTCGTCTTGCATTAAACTCCAAAGCTCTTCCCTAGCTTCTTGAATCCGTTCCAAATCAGCAACGTCCACAAGAAACACAATAGCATCCAATGCCGGAAAATAGCTTTTCCACACTCTACGTGCCTGGACGTGTCCTCCCAAATCAAAAGTTGTGAAGCGAATGCCACCTAGCGATAATTCTTCAGAAGTTGGATGAAGTGTTGGGACATGCTGTGCAATCCGGTCATCTTTTAACATGTGAAGTAAAGTTGTCTTTCCAGCGTTATCGAGACCGAGGAATACCTTTTTAAATTTTAAAGTAATTTAACAAAGAAAATTAAAAAAAAGATTTTCAAGAAATTCAGTGAAGATTAGAAAAAGTGAAAAAAATAACCATAGACTGAGGGCTATACCGAGCTATATTAGGCCATCTAGGAAACGTTAATTTTTTTAGTGTTTTTCTAGTACGAAGAACCAGAAACAAAAAGAACCAGACCAGAACCAAACCACAGAACCTTTTCAGCCTTCAGACAAAAAGACTGAAGATAGAATCTCATTCTCAAAAGCTGTGATTTTTATGTTTATAGGCCAAAATATAGGTTTGGCAGAATATAGGGACTATGCATTTTTAGTGAAAATCCAGGTCTGAACAAAAATAATCTGTTTATAGCCAAATTATTAATTAACCAAAAAAATTTAAATAAAAATACCAATTTTCCACTCTTTTTTGTAAGGCCCAAATAGTTGAGAACTCCAGAAAACCAGTCAAAAAGCCAAGACATGTTGAGATATTTTGAAGTTTATATTAAATATTTTTTAAATAAAAATGGTTGGAATCTTTAAAAATTTAATAAAATTAGTTAAAAAAATAAACGCGATCGGATAAAGTAAAAAAATCTAAAAATAAACTGATTAAAATAAAAATTAATGAGGCGATCAGTCAAATTAGAAAAATGTGTAATTAATAAATAAGAGACTACAGGAATTTGAGAGACGCAGACAATAAAAATGGGACAACAAGACATTTTTAATCGGAGCAGTTCAATTGAGTCCGCACGATTGAGTCCCCACGATTGAGTCCGCACGATTGAGTCCCCACGATTGAGTCCCGGCACGATTGAGTCCCCACGATTGAGTCCGCACGATTGAGTCCCCGTTGTATATACCTCAATTGAGTCCCCGTGGATTTGATTTGAGAAAAAAGATAGTAATTAAAGAACAAAATTGTACTATTATAATAATCTATTATTTCAAACAGGATGGCGGATATTTTAACTAAACGTAGAAAGCCTAAACTTGTTCATGATGGATATTTATTTGTTTTTCATAAAATGGACAAAGACGAAGACATCAAGTTTTGGAGATGTGAGGCCTTCAACAAAAAAGATGTCAGATGTAAGGCTCGCCTACATAGCGAGGTTTATTGTCTTTTTTATTTTTTTAATAGATTATTTTTTAGAATCCTCATATTTGGTCGTATGTCATTTGGGGAGTGGTCAGAACAAATGGAACATGTTTTTGTTGATGGGAGCTTTAGCGTTACTCCTTTATTTTATCAAATTTTTTGTGTGCTTGCAAGGTTGGTTGAAGTTAGGTTGGTTGAAGTTTCTATTTTTAATTTAGAAAACGTAAGTGGGTGTTCCCTGTGCTCTATGGGTTCCTGACAAATAAAACAAAATCGACATATGCTCGCTTTTTTCGACTCGTCAAAGAAATTTGGCCGCAGTTCAACCCACGTGTTTTCTCAACAGACTACGAAGCAGCAATTATTGGAGCTATTCAGGAGGTTTTTCCTCGTTCAGATCTGGCTGGTTGTCTGTTCCACCTGGTTAGGAATCTTAAAAAAGCAATTTGCGATGCTAATTTAATGCAGGTTGTTTTTTATTCTCATTTTCATTTGTACTTCTATTTTTCAGCGTTATAAAAATGATCCTTTGTTTGCCGCTGATGCCTCCACCTAAACGAAGAAACTCCACCTAAACGAAGAAAGTATCGTGATGCCGATAGAAGAATTCATGCGTTGGTCCAAACGTATCAGGCCGCAAATCCAAATTTTGATCACAATTATCAATTTCCAGTTGTTTATCCTATTCACCCAATTATTGATTTTTTAAGAGGTGTTTCTCATAACTATAATATGGATCCATGAATATTTATTTATTTGAAAATTTTGTTTTAGAATTAGTGACTAGTGTTTATTAGATTGAATAAAGATTTTTGATAATCTTGATAACATTTTTAATTGTGGGATTTTACAAAATATCCCGCAACATTTTTGAAATAATCACGCATGCGGGATTTGGAATTTTTTTTTGAAATTTTAAGGTTAAATCCACGGGGACTCAATTGAGGTATATACAACGGGGACTCAATCGTGCGGACTCAATCGTGGGGACTCAATCGTGCCGGGACTCAATCGTGGGGACTCAATCGTGCGGACTCAATCGTGCGGACTCAATTGAGGTGTACCGATTTTTAATAAAAGAGAATGTCAAAATGTAAATTCTTTTTAAATTGTAATTTCAAAGTGGTAAAACATTGTAGATATTTTAAAACACCAAATAGAGTAAACTACAAAACACCAAATTGTAGTAATATTCATTTTGCCCAAAATTTTTGAATTTTTATCACCTGGCTATTTTATCACTTGTTATTTGTTATCAGTTTATCTACCTTCATTGTCAATTGTTTTTTAGAGAATTCTTTTTCGGAGTCTTTTTCTAGTACGTTTGTCTTTTCTAAGCAAAATACACTTGTTTAGTGGCCAAATTAATTGACCGAAATAAAAGTTACCAAAATGAAACTTTTCCCTCCAAAATTTTTCAAAATCTCTAATAACACATTTTTTGCTAAAACGTGACCAAATTGAATGTGACTTTTACTTTTTTTTGTGTTTTCTGGTCATTTTTAATCAGTCTCTCTTTTTGCAGTTTCTTCCAGTAACGCATTCAATGTTTGACTTTTTGCCATGTTAATTTCATTCATTAATCACATGCCAGTCTAATGCATTTTTTTTTCTAAAAGGGAACGGAGAGAAGGGAGTAATCAAAGGAAAGAGGAAATTTTTGGGGGGTGTATTTAAAAGTCAATAAAATAGAAAATATTTTTGAGAGAATCAATAGAATTATTATTCGTTTTTAGTCTGTCTACTGATATTACAAAAAGATAACAATAAAAAGGGTGTAAAAGTTGCCTATTTGTTACACAAAATAGACGCTGTGCATTTTTCGTTGAAAATTTACCTAAATTTTATTCTGTTTAGATTTTTTAATTTTTTGTGCAGAAATCGGTATTAAATTGGGTGTACCCTTAAGAGAATTTTTTAAAGAATTTTTGAGAATTTTTAAAGAATTTTTTGAGAATTTTTTATTTTACAACGCGCATAATTTGCATCATTCTTATCTTTTTTTTTCAAATTATTTAATTTCTCATTCTTTTGAATTTCTTCCCTTATATTTTTCTTTCAGTTCTTGCCTTTCCCCAATGTACTCGTTATTTTCCCCTCGGTCACTCGTAAACTACAATTTTTACTATTTTTTTGGAGACAGAATGGGTGGGTACAGCCCAAGTAGGCGCGCGGCCAAGTAGGCGCAAAGACATAACTTGCTTCAAGATTTTCGAATCTTATTAAATATAGCACTAAACGATTCCTCTCATCGAGCTAAAGAGATTGGTACCAAAATTGTTAAGGTCCAGAAATTTTCCAGGTAGTTATGGCTTTGCGCCTACCTGGTTGCGCGCCTACTTGGGCATGTCCCAGTATGGGTGTATATATTAATGAGAAATATGGGGGAAGTTTACTTTTTAAGGTCAATCCATACCTTTAAAAAATTGTAGGGATTGCCTCACTTTTAGATGGTGAGCGTCTCCCTCAGAACCTGCTCCTAAAGACAATTTTTAACTTAATTTTTTTAATTTTTCAGATAATAAATATTTTTAAATTATTTTAAATTATTAAAAATGCATTCATCTTCAAGCTCTGATGCTTTAACCAATGGCAGCATAACTTTTAAAGAACGCAAAGGCCTTCGTATGATTTCTTAAAAACTTGATTTTTAATAATTTTCATTTTTAGCTGAAAGACAAAGAATGGTGCAAGACATTATGCGTCAACATAACGACAAGGTTTTAATTTTTATGAGTTTTGAAATCTACGAAGGGATGTTGTCCTTGACTTTTTTAATTGACCTAGTGACATTTGATCCCTTTTTAAAGTATTAGGATTTTGAGAAAAATTTGGGGTTGATGCTTCCGTTCTTCAGTCAAGGGATCCTTCACTTTACGGTCTAGATCGTTTGCCATCCAACAACTATTAGCTGGTTGTTTAACTTCCAGTCTCTACCCATCCTTTTCTAATATTTCCTTTCTGTTAGTGGGTTTTAGAACCTCTAATTTTATTAAGCGCTTAAAACAAGAATTCCAAAATGTTCTCCATTTTTTCAGGTGCCTTTGATAATTGAGCGATATGACAAAGAGCGTATGTTTTTTCTTGTTTTAAATTAATTTTTGTCCAACATTTAATTTAAAGGTTTTTTGCCTCTGATGAATCATGCCAAATATCTGGTGCCGAGTCATTTGACAATTGGAGGTGTAATGCAAATAATACGTCGCAGATTGCAACTTCATCCTGACCAAGCTTTTTATTTGTATTTTTTTTAATTTTTAGAAAATTTAAAACAAATTTTTTCAGGCTTGTCAACGGCAAATCTGTCTTTTCAATGTCCCAGACTATCGGACAGCTTTATGATGACGAAAAAGATGAAGATGGATTTCTTTACATTGTGTATGCTAGTCAGCCAGCTTTTGGAGGTGAAAATGCTCGAGATGAGGAAGAATAATTAAACGAAGTTTTAAGAAAATAAAAGGAATAAACAGCGGTATTACCGTTAAAATATGTATAAAAATAATTTTGAATCTTAATTTTTAAGCCATTTTTTGGGGGAAGGCTCCATTCAACTCTATTTTCTTTTAAAAATTCGAAAATACATTTTGTATAATTTCTAAAATGATTTGAATCCGAAAAGGGGGTAAATTGATAAAGGAAAAAATCGACAAAGGCTCCGAGCTTACGTAGAAAGTAACGCCCAAATTGAGTATCCTCAGATATTATGGACAAGCACTTTAGCAAGGGAATTTTCGGGAGGGATAGGGGGTCAAGATCAATTTTGAACATGTTAAAAAATTTAAATTTTTAACTTGAAGGGCACCAAAAATATTTTTAAGCCTGTTCAAACTAGAGACCGGACTGGGGATGTTGTACGAAATTAGGCTACTACTGAAGATGAGGGTGTCGTGTGCCTTTTTCGGTAAATATGTAAACAATGGTCAGTCTATCAAAGGGTATTTAAATATAAAGCACCGACAATAGTGCCAGAGAATCGGGATCTTGGAAAATTCTTGGTCTCGGTAAACCGGGATTTTCGATCGAAATCTCGTCTTGGTCCGAGACGAAATCTCGTCTCGGTCGTCTCGGTCCGGTAGTTCAAACATAAGTCTGTATGTCTACATAGGCCCCCAAAATTTTCAGAAAAAAATTTTTTTGCAGATATTCCAAACTTTCTGCCTATATTTTTCTAAGGGGCTAGTAAACCCAACAATCTTTACTCTATATCAAATCATTTTTAATATGTAAAAAAGCCATGTGTTTAAACTTTATTTTGCTTTTAATTGTGTAATTTAACCAAAATAAAAAACCGTATTTTTAACTCTATAAAATTTTTCTAATGAGTAAGTACTTTGCAGATAATTAAAATTAAAAAAAATTTTTTTTTCACAGAAAAAATACGGTTAGAAAAATAAATTTTTTGCCCGAAAAATGCTTTAAAAAGTCAATTTTATTCAACGGGCATATGCTTTTCCCTCTTTTTTCGAAAGGAGGAAAAAATATACAAATATGGCTTTCCCTCCAATGTAAATATATTTTCTCTCTACAAAATCCAGTCCATCACAACAATAATCGATTCTAAACAAATATATACAAAAATAAAACTTCACAGCCACCCTGCTATATTTTAATCTTGGAGCTATTTTTTATCATAAAAATGTAAAATTGATATCTTGATAAATATTTTAATACCTCTCTTTTTCAAAATCTTGTTTTTGAGGTCTAGATTTTTCTAAGAAAAAAATTTGAATTTCGATTTTTTATAAAAGTTATGCAGATAAGGAGGGCAATCCTGCAGAATCTGGGATACACCTTTGATTTGCCTAGAAAAAATCATAGATAAAATGTCATATCTGACAAAATCTGATATCAGATTCGTGATCAGCATAGTCGATTACCTATATAAAATGATTCTAAAAATTTTTTAAAGGTGTATCCAGCCCCTTACCGATGGGAGAGGCAAAAACTCCCACAGAAACCCTATGTAGAGGGGAACACAAAAATGGTCATTACTTTGTTCAGTTAAGTCAGATCTTGTTAATTCTAGTCTCAATCAACTTAGCCCGAAGAGCTCTCTTGAGTGATAAATAATTTGCCCATAAAGGAGAAAATTTTTTTGACAATCTTTAGCGGACACACAACCCCTACAAGTACCCATTTCAACTACTAATTTCATTAATTTGTTTCAATTCTCGTCCCCTTTTTCTCTTTTTTCTCATAAAAAATTAAAAAACCACACGTCCCTCAAGCATAAAAAAGAAAAAAATATCACACGCTCTATCCTTTCCCTAATTTAGAAAATCATCGATTAGAAAATCAGTAGGTCCCATAAAATAGGTTTGCCGTTCGACGAAAACTAAAAATTTGTTGAGTGTACCATTTTGTCGTTTTTCACTAGTTGATGTTTTGTAATGTCCTCATTATTTACCAAATCAAAATTTTCTTTTTTTTCGAAGCGAAAGACAGTTTCAAGTATAAAAGGCAGAATTACAGTGCAAAATCGATCTGTCTGGGAGTAAAATAAAAAGAAGAAAAGTTGTAAAACCTCTTTTAGTTTTCTCATAGTCTATTTAATTAATTAATTTGTTTTTGCAACGTTTGCAATTTTTGTATTTTTATTTTGTTTTAAACTTTATTTAATTTTATTTTTTCGTTGTCATAGCAATTTTCTCATATTTTTCTTCCCTTTAAAAATTTTAAAAGGTTCTTACTGGACAACTACTCATTTCTCTTGTATTTGGAACTAAAATATATTTATGGAAAGAGATTTGGAACGTTATTATACTGATTTTGAACCTCCTCCAGTTGCTCCAACATTTTATCCTACAGAAGAAGGTTTTTTTTTGAAAATTAGGCCCTATCCCAAAAGAAGGGCGGAATCGTTTTTTTCATTACCTGAAAGGAAAGGAAAAATGGAGACGGATGGACACGGACAAACAGAACTCGGACAGACAAAACACGGACGGAAATGGTTTGGAAATTGATATCCGTTCCGTGTTTTGTCTGTGTCCATCCGTCTTCATTTTTCCTTTTCTTTCGAGTAATGAAAAAACGATTCCGCCCTTCTTTTGGGATAAGTTCGTAAATTTTTGAATTAAAAAATTTTTTTTCAGATTTTGCTGACCCAATTTTATACGTTGCAAAAATAAAATCGAGCGCAGAAAAATATGGTTTGGTCAAAATTATACCTCCAAAGGTTTTTTTAAGTTTACTGACCATTTTAACAAAATTCCCCTCTTTTTAGAGTTTCCGCCCCCCATTTTGTATTGACCCAGAAAAATTTGAATTTACGCCAAGAGTACAACGACTAAATGAAATTGATGCACTTTTTCGTCTTCGCATAATTTTTATAAATAAACTCGTAAAATTCTGGCAGATTCATGGTCAACATTTTCGTATTCCTTGGGCAGAGAATAAATATATTGATCTTTACCGTTTACAGAAGGTTTGGTTTTGCTTTTATTTTTTTTTAATTTAATTAGTATCTCAGTTTCGGGATACTTAACGGGTTTTTTTAATGTTTCATAAGGGAGACCGTCCTTCCTAAAACTTATGATGTGGCGTCCTGGGTGCGTACGACTGTCGTGGATACGCAATTGAGGATGCGACGATTCTGATGGCATATACTATGATGAGCAGTTAAATTAGTTCAGATGATCTTATTTTTCTTGCGACCCATTTTTCCCATTTTGGATTAATTTCTTAAAGCCGCGATCATCCAGTTTTCAATTACCTTCAGGGAATCCGACGCGGGGTCCCGTGAAAATCCGTCCGGGATCCTTTCTCGTCTCTAATTTAATTTCTAAAATTTTAGTTGGTCGCTGAAAATGGAGGATTGAGGAAAGTTTCAGAAACCAGACGTTGGTCACATATTGCCAAATGTCTAGGATTTAAACCAACAGCTGGACCATCACTTAAATATCATTATACCAAATGGATTCAACCCTTTGAATTGCACCTTTCAGATGTTTGTTTCTTTTTGTTTTATTTGACCTCATCCTTCATGGTATTTTCCCCTTTGAATTCTTGCTACCTTCTATATTTCTTTGATTTTGCCTTGGGAAATTTTTTGATTTTTCTTAAAGCTTTTTCGTTAGCGTCTGTCCTACTTCCATAAATCATTCTTTAAATTTAGTGTAATGATGACACTGGACCATCTACCTCAGAAGATACCAAAGACGAATGTAAAAATGTACCTCAAACTCGCCGCCAAAGTCGAATGATGGCTGGCCTTGAAAAGCGACGGATAAAACCGATTCCTTCATTGGACAAGAGTTCTTTACAAGGTATCTTTGACGTATTCTATTTAAATCAACAAGGCCTAAATTATGCACTTACATGTAAAGTGGTTTGTTAGGCATTTTATACCTTGTTAGTATTGGGTTGTCAAGATCTTACAAGCAAAGCTGAACTCTATTGCCTGAACCGACTAGGCGATTGCCACTGTTTTATCTGTTATACCGTAAAACTAGATCAGACTACCACCTGCCGACAGGCTTCGAACTTGAGTCTTTTTTTAAGTGCAACTGGAACAGGCTCTGAGCTCTATCGCTTCTATGGTTGGGGGCCCCAACCAATCACTTCGCTAAACTTTATCCTAATAATTCTAGATAAATCTGATCATCGAACTCCAATTGAACTTGTAATTTGTGCAAAATGTGGACATGGAGATGATGAGGCTCGTTTACTACTATGCGAAACATGTGACAATTCTCTTCATATTTATTGTGCTAACCCACCTCTTATGGAAGTCCCAAAAGGCGAATGGAGATGTCATACTTGTGTTACTAATGCAGTCAAAAGTGTTTCGACAGATTTTGGTTTTGTAGATTCTCAACAAATTTTTAATTTGAATACTTTTGGTGATTGGGCAAATACTTTTAAACAACAATATTTTAAAGAGATTCCGACGGTAAATTTATTAAAATTTATTTTTTTCTGATCTTCAATTTCTTAGCTTTAAGATATTTGGTCGTTTTTCCTATTTTTTAAACGACTGGGCGAACTTTTTGGGTTTTATGTTCGGATCCATATGCCTGGGTTTACACGGGAGAGTGATCAACAACAAAGGCGCCTTGAAGTGTGATATGATTCCCTATAGAAAATCGCTTATGGTTTGGTTATTCGGTTATGTTCCGAATATCCGAAAAGTTTCGGTTCGATTTCAGTTATCAGACAATTTGGAGCATTTTTGGACAATTTGGAGCTCTGCGTCCATGCCATGGGTCAAGTCTAACAAGCCACCTTAGTTATGCAGTTATTTACTATTGGGGCGGTAAAATTCAATTTCGTTCCCCCCCTCTTTTTTTCCTTCCTCAAAGTATTACAAAATGGTCAGTCAATCTTAAGTTATAGAACTCGTCAAGCTGTGTCGAATGACACCAAAATCGAAAAAATCGGACTTGATTGGACCGAAATACAGACCCCTAAAAATTGAACAACCACAGGGGCGAAAAACCAAAAGGACGAAAAAGTATACAAATGATAGCTCGTTCGAAAGAGCTCGTCGAGTTGAGTCGAATGACACTAAAATCGACGTGATCCGACTTGATTTGACAAAGATATGACATAAATCATCGACTCCGGTAGGTCTAAATAACGTCGTAACTTTGTCAAATCTTGTCCAATTACGTCGATTTTGATGTCATTCGACTCAGCTCGAAGAGCTCTTTCGAATGAGCTACCATTTGCTTAAATTTTTTTAATTTCAAAAAATCACCCCTGTGGTTGTTCAATTTTTAGGGGTCTGTATTTCGGTCAAATCAAGTCGGATTTTTTCGATTTTGGTGTCATTCGACACAGCTCGACGAGTTCTATAACTTAAGATTGACTGACCATTGTGTAATACTTTGAGGAAGGAAAAAAAGAGGGGGGGGAACGAAATTGAAAATTACCATTGGGGCTTTTGACCCTTCTTTCCTCACCCTTTTTCTAAACCTAAAGACTTTAATATTTTTCTAGAATGTACCTCGTGAAAAGGTTGAGGCAGAATTTTGGCGTAATGTAGTCGACATTGACAGCGTTGTTCAAGTTAAATATGGAGCTGATTTGTAAGCGATAAAAAATTTTTTTTGTTTTAAAATTTTATTTTTAAGAATTTCGAGTAAAGTAGGAAGTGGATTTCCTCGACGTGAAGATTCTTTAAATGGAATTGATTTTAAAGAGAAGCAATATTATGTTAATCATCCTTGGAGTGAGTATTTTTCATTTGATTTGATTGTTATTAAAATCAATTTTTTAAAGATTTGAATAATTTGCCAAAACTCAAGGAAAGTGTTCTTTGTCATATGCATACTGATATTTCTGGTAATACTTTTTTTATTTACAGATGGGCATTTTTATTAGATACAAGGAAACGTGTTGTCGTAAGAAATAAATTCTTGATTTTCTGGAATCGACGTTTTCGTCTTTATTTTAACTAATTGCGGAAGCATTTAGGATTTTTGGCCCAAAAAGACGTTTGGAATTCCCGATTTCTCGGAAATTCAGATGACACGTTCTCTGTGTTTTTGCCTTGCGATACCTTCAGTTTTTAAGCGATACCTCCAAGCGATACGATTCGTTTCTTACCCTTTATCACTGTAAATGCTGTAATAGAACCATATTCCCTATTTGAAGCACTCCCTAATATAAGCACACCCTACGAGGGGATCGAAAAATATAGCACATGTGGTTCTATTAGAGCATTTACGGTATATGTACGATTTTTCCTACCCTAATTATCTATCATAAAATGTTTTACTTTTCTTAAATTTATTTTTAGGTATGATGGTTCCATGGGTTTACGTCGGAATGTGTTTCTCAACCTTTTGCTGGTAACTGTTCAAAAATAATTTCAAATTCAAATTTTATTATTTAGGCATGTTGAAGATCATTGGACTTACTCAATCAACTACAATCACTGGGGAGAACGTAAAATCTGGTATGGGATACCTGGCGATGAGGCTGAACATTTTGATCAAGTTATGCGAGAATCTTTCCCAGAATTATTTGCTGATCAAAACGATTTATTACATCATATGACAACAGCATTAAATCCTCGATTTTTAATCGATAAGGGCGTCCCAGTTTATTCTTGCCATCAAAATGCTGGGGAATTTGTTGTGACTTTTCCTAGAGCATATCATGCTGGTTACAATGAAGGATTGAATTTTGCGGAGGCTGTCAATTTTGCTCCGCCTGATTGGGTAAAAAAAAATTTTTATAAGTCAACAGATTTCATTTATAAAGTCCCAGGTTTCTGATAGATTCCCTTGAGGCTGAAAGACAGGAGTAGAGACCGGATTGAGACGAAATCTCGAACGAATATCTCAGTTATTAAGATTTAAGATGTGTCGTTACGACACTTCCCGTATGTCTTCAGTTGGTGATGCCTTAAATAGGAACAACAACTACCTAACCAGCAACCACGTTCTTATGATATTGGCCCTAATGACCAGCTAACCAAATTTTAAGAAATGTTATCAAATTGAGGTGTATCTAGTATTGGGTGTATCTTTTAGTGAGATCTTTATGTATCATTGTATTAAGGAAAAAGGAAATTTCTGCTTTATTCGTTCGTTATTTTTAAATTTAATTTTGTGTTATTAAGCTTCGAATGGGAAGACAATGCCTAGAAAATTATGCTTCAGTTCAACGTAATTGTGTTTTTTCACATGAAGAACTTTTAATGAAAATGGTTGGATATGCAAAGAAAATGAGTATAAGTATGTGTTTGGCAACACTTGAAGAATTAAGTTGGATTGTGTCAAAAGAAACAGAATTTCGTAAAAAATTATCTGAAGCTGGTTTGCGTGAAAGTCAATTTTGTAAATTCGAAGATCTTTCGGATGATGACAGGTTTACTTTTTGAAAATTTTTTTTAAAAAACTTGGTGAATTTAAGAGCTTGTGCGGTTTGTCGAACAACTTTGTTTTGTTCTGGTTTGGTTTGTAAGCATGAAGGAAGAATTGTTTGCTCTCAACACGTTGATAGACTATGCGATGAATGTTCTATAAGAGATTCTTGCCTTAAGTAAGAGGATTTTTAATTAATTTCTGATTAAAACTAGTATGTTGTACTTAAGGGCGTAGGCAGCCAGAAGGGGTTTTTGGGGCTATAGCTCCTCTCTGAAGTGGGAAAAGGGGAAAATAATGTGAGGAAGAAGGAAGCGTCGAAAATGTGTTAAGCCCCATTTTACCCCCCTAAAATCGACCCCCTGGCTACGCCTTTGGTTGTACTTGTCTTTGGTGCGAGTATGTGGGAACATTAGTGGAGCCCTAAAAATAGTGAAGCTCTCCTAAACTGCTTTTCATTATCCCTTTATTAATAAAAAGTTTTTTCTCTTTTCAGGTTTCGCTATACACTAGAAGATTTAGTTCCTATGGTCAAACGCCTTTCTGCCCGTACAACTTCATATTTTGAATGGAAAAGGAGCCTGTCTCAATTTAATAATTTAATTGAAGAAGTTTATAATTCTCAACAAAATGGAGGAGGAGAAGACTCTGTAAAACAAAAATTAGGTTAAATTTTAAAAATTATTTTTAGAAGCTAAAAAATAAAAAATTTGAAGATGTGAATAAAATGCGAACACTTGCTGATAAATGGCGAACTTCTCGATTTCCACATTGTGCTGAAATTCAACGAATCAATCAAATTTTGTCGGATTTTGATAAAATAACAACAAGTTTAAATAGAATACTTTGTAGAAAGATTCGTCTTCGGTTTGTTTTTTCTTAATTGATAAAGACGGATTCCAAGGGTGTTGGTTTCGGGTCGAAAAAATCCTAGTATTGAATTGGGTCAGTTAAGGGATTAAGAGGAGAAAAAGTGAGGGTTTCGGATTCCCATGAAATCCCTGGTACATATCAGCGATCCTACCGACCGGATTCCCGATTTTGCGAAATCGGGAATTTCCTACGCTTTTATAGTTAGGGTCGGGAATTTCCGAAATAGGGAAATTTATTTTTTTATATTTCCTAACCCCTTTCTTCAGGGGGTTAGTCGGCGTTGGGCCCCAAGAGTGGTAACCAGTGCTGGGTATGGCTCCGGGAGCTAGCTCCGGAGCCCGGCTCCGGCGGAGCCGGAGCTAAGATTTTGAAAACCCCGGAGCCGGAGCCAAGATTTTGAAACCCCGGAGCCCGGAGCCGGAGCCAACAAATGGCAAATACCCATCACTGGTGGTAACCCACCCTTGGGGCGCGCCGATCCACCTATTAAAAACGAAGGCCTTCTTTTAACTTTTTTATTCAACAAATAAGTTTCATAAATTTAACTAGGACAATTTTTTTATCGTGAATCCCAATTTCCCGAAATCGGTAATTTTGCTTATTTGTCGGTAGGATCTTTGTACTTATACATATGAGACCTTTGGTCCAACCTTATTAATTTTTTTAAATCTCCTCTTAAATTTATAGAGATCAGACAATCTGTCAAAAGGTGGATACTCGCTGTGAATATTCTGAAGTAACCTTATTTAATTTTTTAAAAATCTAGACTTTTTTACATTTTCTAGGTTTTAAATTTACGTGATCAATTGGAAAAATCAATTTTTGATGATGATGAATTGGAAATTGGATTAAAGGTTTAAAATTGAAAGGATTAAATAAATTTAATTTTCTAAAGGAACTCTGTGCTAAAGTTGATAATTGGAAACAACGAGTTCAAAAATGTTTAGCAGACGAATATTCTGGTTTTCGCTCAATAGATGCTCTTTACTCACTTATTAATGAGGCTGAAGATGAATTTAATATACGTTTGGATGCAGAGGGGTTAGATGAATTGAGATCTGTGAGTTTTTTTTCTTAAAGAGATTGTGAATTGTTAAGAAATTTTGGTGGAGTATAGTGATATTAACCTTGCTTTTTTATTAAAATTTTTCAGGATCCCTCGACATCTTCCCCGCATTTTTTTTAATTTTATGTTCCCAAATTCTATGATGTTCTTCTTAATCTTCCAACTTCCCTAGTATTAACCCGACCCGATACCGAGGTTTTATCGACACGAAACCAAATCCGAAGAAAATTAGGTTTCTGAAGGTTCCAATTTTTTTACATTCCGGTTCTTGGCAGTTCCCAAGGTTTAACGTTTCCATGATTCCAGTCCCTTTGTTTGGCGAACCAGAAAAACACTGTTTTTTTTTAATTTTACATATTCAAAGGTCCTTGAACGTTACCAATGGATAATTAAAGCTGAAAAATTGCTGCAACAAATTAATCAATTTGTAAATATTAAACATGAAGAGGACCATGAACAAAATGGCATTACAAAAAATATGGAAGAGGAAGACGAAGAAAAGCATGAGCGTTTGAGTCTTCAAAATATTGGGGTATTTTTTGATTTTTTAATAAATTTAATTTAAATATTTTCTTCATAGAAATTGGTAATTGAGTCGTCTAGATGGCTACAAAATTGTCAAAACGTTGCAAATTTAACAAGACAATTGGAAGAAAAATTTGATTTGGGAACTCGAACTGAAACATTGGCAACTGATTTTTTGGAGAATTCTTCTAGTAATAATAATGTTGGAGGAATTGAAAAAGCAGAAGAATTTTGGAATGAAAATTTGTCGGTTGTTGATTGGCTTGAGGTTTATTAAAAATAAAATTTAAAGTGGAATATTATTTTTTTTAATTTTTAGTCGGATTCTTTGCAAACTTTTCGAGATGAATTGGAGGTTATTTTTAAAATTTTATTGAGAAAAGAAATTTATTAAAATGGGCGGATTTTTTGTAGTATAGCCTCGAAAGTCTTCTTTCGAGGCTATTGCCACTTCTTTCGAGGCTATTCTTTCTTTCGAGGCTATTGCCACTTCTTTCGAGGCTATTCTTTCTTTCGAGGCTATTGCCACTTCTTTCGAGGCTATTGCCTCGAAAGAAGTGTTCTGCCTCACGGAGTGTTACTGCCTCTATAGCAATATAGGAACGTTAGGACCTCAAGAGCTGCTTCAAAGCAAATTACGGCCTTGGAAGCAATGTTGCTGAAAGTGTTGCTTCCTCTGTAGCAAATACTAGGAACAGTCAGACCAAAATTTGTACCTTGCACGAGAAAAATAGTGTACGGACGAAATACAAGCAAAAGCGAATTTCCCATACTGTCTTTAAAACCTGACGTGATGTGTCACTTCAACATAATTCTTATTACGTCTCAAAAATTTTTTTATTAAAATCAAAAATACCTTCCCTAAAATCATTTCAATTAATATTTTTATTTTCAAAAAGGTTGCTCGACAAATCAACACCGAATTTGCTTCACTTATTAATGGAACTTTAACTTTAGCTAAACTAGAACAATTAAATAAGGTTAGCTAAAAATTTTTTATTGAAAATATTTTTTTTGTTTTTTAGACTTGTTCAAATTCAATTTTTGAACGTAATTCCCAAAAACATTCAAAAATCATTCAAATGGCTGATGTCTTGAACAAATTTGTAGATAAAATTAAAACAATTTTTCTAATAAATTTTAATTATTATAATCTTTTTGATATTATTGCGGGAAGAAGGTTTATTTTTATTTAGTTGGTTAAAAAATTTTTTTTAATTTTTCAGTGATTTACCAGCTTTAGCCGAAGGCGACCCTTTACATCTTTCACTTTTTGAGTCGACGGATTATGCTGAAAAGTATTTTTAAAAAATTTTCTTTTTGAATTTGACTGACCACGTCTTTTAAATTTATCTTTTTAACCTTTCCTTCACCTAATTTTAACTAGAGACCGGAGTGGGTTTGTGATACGAGAATTGTGATATCGAAAAACCTCAATTCTCGCTAAATCTCAAAAATTCTTCTTACGAGAATAGAGATCTCGTCTTGGTCCAGTCTCTGTTTTTAACCTTCCCTCACTCAATTTCCATAAATGTTTTAATAAAAGCCCATCTCCAATAGAAACTCTTGCCCAATTACAAGATTACTCAATGAGGCTTATTGAAAAATGAAAGCTCGGGGCTTCTATTAGAACATTTTTGGTATACCAATTTTTTAATTAACGAGAATTCCTTCCCAGTCATCTCCTTTTTGCTTTCCTTCACTAAATCACACCTTTTTTCTCTTCTGGTTTTTAACTTTTTTCAGTGGTCTTTAAAATTTGTTTTATTTTTAGTTGGATTCAACTTCAAAATTTCACTACCAACGAAGGACTAATCTCCCATTTAAATGCTATCAATGATCAACGCTCTACTTTACTTCATGCACTTCGTTTGGCCAATTCAAAAAGACCACTTAAAGAAACTTGTGTCTGTGCTAAAAATTGTGGTGATTCTCCATCAAAATCCAAAAAATCTTCGGATGGATTGCAAAATGAAACGATAAATTGTTTTGTTTGTAATGCTAGATTTCATGGTTTTTTTGAAAATTTTTAAAGATTTTTTTTTTATTTTTTTCTTAAGCTTCATGTATTCAATGGGACCTTTTCTTTGAACGTTTACCAGCTGGAATTTATTTATGTCAACGTTGTCTACGCAGCCGACGTCCATGTATTGAAGAGGTTGAAGCTGCATGTTCTCTACCTGATTTGCCAGATAACAGTCTTGAAAAGGTTTTGATTGTTTAGAAATTTTTGCTAGGGAACATTGGTTACATTGTCCAAAAGTTTTGTATTGTTCCTGTTACCATTCGATAGAGATTTGATGCTTTATCAGTCCATAACTAGGCCCAAAGTCATTTTACAAGAAAACGGATATTACTTGGTAATAGGAAATCGGGGGTCCTCTATGAATAGGAGCAAGAAAAATATGCAAAAAGGGCTCTTGTCCAGTTTAAGCGTTCAATCGCACCTTTATACGTCCAATAAACCTATATAAGTCCAATGAAAAGTTTAGCCTTTTAAGTCCAATGAAAGCCAAAAAAGACTCTTTTTTGGACGTTTAAACTGGACATGAGCCAAAAAATTTGTACATAGTAACCTATGTTCCTGTTTTAAACCTATTTTCCTCTTATTTTCAACAGATGCTCGTCAAAAATTTAATTGATCACAGCACTAGAATTTTCCAGAATCTTCATAATCAACTCCATTTTATACCTAAAGGTGTTGATTTGTCTACAATAGAAGATGAAACAAAAAATAAATTAATTGATTCACTTATCATGGCTCTTTCAACAGAAGTTGTCGATGTACAAATTTATCAAATGCTTTGTGCTTCTGCTTTTTTTGATATTTTTCCGATTGAACAAAACAATGTTGTTATATTACAAAAAATTAAGGTTTGTCATTTATATTTTTGGAATTTTTAAGAAATTTGAAAAGCAGTCGAAAGCAGTTTTTTCTTTATACCCATGTTTGCTGGTATTGGGTATTAGGAATAAGCCGGGTTAAGATAAAGTCGGGCCGGGTTTTGGAAAAGTTAAACCTCGGGTCGGGTTTCTTTTGAGAAAAGACCATGTTTCAGGTAACCCGACCCATCTCTGCTGAATGTACCTTAATTTAGGATGAGGTTTTTAAATTTGGTTCACTTTTGGGTAACTTTTTTTGTCTAAACGATACTCCTATTTATTAGTTACCCCACATTATAAAATTTTTTTCTCAACTCCAAGGGTGTACCTACAACTGAGATTGTAGTTTAATCTTTTATCCTAGAATTTAAAAATTTTAATAATTTTTATTTTTCTAAATTTAGGAAAGAGTTCCAAATTCAAATCCTCGTCCAGTTCTCTTCTCTCTGTTTAAATCTCCAATATTAATTGAACATTCATCTCGTCAAAATTCGAATAATCGACGCATTTCTGGCATAAAACGACGTAGTACAAATTCAACAACAACACCAAAAGGAAATCGAAGAAGTTCAGGAAAAGCTTCGAGAGGAGGGAGAACTTCTTTAAATTCTCGTCAAAATGTATTCAAAGGCGAAGAAGATTTTTTAGATGCCGACTTTAATGGGATGAGAAATGAAGAAGAGGATGAGGAAACTTCAAGTAATTATGATGAATCAGGATCGATTAAAAGAGTTTCTAAAGATCATCATTTGGAAAGATGTGCTGCTGATTTATGTTTAAATCCCTATAGTTAGTTTATTTTTTATTCAGTTTTAATACAGTCTAATTAAACAATCATGGATAGTAGAGATGTGCGAGACTCTTGGTCTTGGTCTTGGAACCAAGACTTTTCTTGGTTTTTTTCGGTCTTGGTCTTGGGGTGTTTGTCTTGGTCTTGTCTTGGTTTTATTTTTTGGTCTTGGTTTTTTGGCCTTTTTGGACCTAGTGCTTGGCCATCCAAAATCCTCAAAATTTTCGCCTGCGGCGCAGAAAATGGAAGAAATCTGGCTTCTTGAGCTCCAAAATTCAAAAAATTTTCGCCTCCGGCGCTGAAAATGTGAAATTTTTTGGCCTACGGCCTTCCAAAATTTTCAAAATTTTTGCCTGCGGTGCAGGAAAAGGAAGATTTTTGGCTTCTTTGCTGTCATAATTCCCAAAATTTTCGCCTGCGGCGCTAAATCCCACGGCTATCCCTCTTAATCTTTTGATATCACTAATATCCCGTTAATCCACCCAAACCCTCTGAAATAATAACCTATTTTATTGATTTTCCACAGAATAAATTCCCCGAAATTCTTTGAATTTCGCATAAATTTTTCGAAATTATAAATAATTGTGCTGAAGTTGACTGTGATCGTATCATAATAACAAAAAATAAACCAAAAATTTGACCTATGGGATTTAAAAATTTGGTCTTGATTTTTGGTCTTGAGTCTTGGAGTTTTGGTCTTGGTCTTGGAAAAAATTTTGACTTGGGTCTTGAGTCTTGGAAAAATTTCGGTCTCGCACATCTCTAATGGATAGGCCCGGGTTGGAAAAATGTCGGATCAAGTTTCGGGGCATAAAAGGTCTTGGTACTGGATTTCGGATAACTAGGCCTATCCCTGCAACCAATAAATATACTCCTCACAGCAGTGCTGGGCATTTGTTGGCTCCGAGCTTTAAAATCTTGGCTTTGGCTCCGGGCTCCGAAGCCATACCCAGCACTGCTCATTAGTTTTAAAATTTGTTAGTCATTAGAAGGGGAACTGTCCACTACTCTCCTATTTTTTAAGAATCTCTCCTTATAAGGACGTTTTTTCTGCTCCAGGGGGGTGTTTCCTTAAATGAGGTCCCATCTGTTTTTTTGTTTTTTTTTTAATATTTTTCGATTATTTTAAAAAATTATATGTTTTTAGGTGAATATACACGTTGGATTCAATGTGAAGCTGGCTGCGCTCGATGGTTTTTTTTAATTTTTTTTCCTCACATTAAAAAAATTTTTTAAAGGTATCACTTTTGTTGTGTAGGCATTTCAGTACGTGGAGCTCAACTAATTTCTTCATATTGTTGTCTTAAATGCTCTTCTTCCTCTTCTTCTTCAACAGCAGCAGCAACAACATCATCATCAACCTCATTTTGTAATAAAATTGTAAATATTGAAGTTGAAATTGAAAAACAACAGCAACCACAACCATCAACAATATCTGCAGAGCAATAAAAAATTCGGAAGTTTTCTTAAAGGGTTTTTCTTTCTTTAAAAAATTCGAAGCAATTTTTGTTTAATTTTATTCGAATTTAAGTATTTCTCTATGGTAGCTTCTATTTAATTTTTTTAGTCATTTGGGAGTAGGAAAATTATAATTTTTTTTATTTATTGAAATTTTGTGTGAGGGTTTGAAGAAAACTGAAACGTTTGGGCTTTTTTTTTAATTTTTAGTGAAAAATTTAACTTAACTAAAAAAGACTTTAAAAACTTTCAAAAATTTTTTTGAATAATTTTAAAACATTTTATCCTTGAAACTTACTTAAATTTGATAGAATTACTTTTTTTAATGATTTCCCACTGAGCGGGTTCGAACCTCTTTCATCCTCCACCTACTAAATTTAAAATTACCCCACTACACCAAAGTGTCAATTTTCTGGGGAGGTGCCTGCTTTGAATGGGGAGCAGGGCTGGGCTGATTTCGCATATTTCATATTTTTCAGCACGTAAAGTTTCACATCTCGATTTTTATTTTTAGTTTTCGCCCAGCCTTGATGGGGAGGTTTTTAAGCTTCCCTATTCACCGATTATTTAAAATTAAAAAATTTTTCAACAAAGCTTGAATGTTTCAGTTTTTTCTCTTTTCTACCTTATTTAAGTACAACTTCATGAATATATATTTAATTGTTTTTTCTTATTTATTTTCAACCCTAATTCTATGTCAACATATTTTTTTTCTAAAGAAAAATATCAAAACCGAATATTTAAAAAATTATTTTAAAAATTATTTTTTAATATTTATCTCTTGCTGTGCTCCTTCTACTTGCTTCAAGTTTTTTATTATTATACACTATTCAAATCAATTATTGTTAATATTTTTTTGTATTTTTTTCCTATTTAAGTAATATTATTCTTATTTAAAACTCTTGTTATTGTAATAATTAAAACTTTTTTTAAATTTATTGTAGAAATTGAGGGGTTTAAATAGTTAAGTTTTTAAGTTTATTTAATTAATTTCAAGTTTTTTTTTCTTGAAAGTTTATTACCTACAAGATACCAAGTTTTATTTTTATTAAACTTGACCACCAAGTTTATTTTAATTTTACCTAGTAATTTCAAAATACGTTTATTTAATTACAACTTTAATTCTATGTTTATTTAATTAATCTAAAAGTTTCCAAGTTTATTTTTCTTTACCCAATTCTAAGTTGGTAATAAAAGGCGTGAGAAACTTGAAACTTATTAAATATAAAAATAAAACTTGCGCAGTAATTCCAAGTTTATTTATTTAATTTTTCTAAAAGGTCTAAGTTTATTTATTTTTCAATTAGTTATAAAGGGCTTGAAAACTTGATAAACTTAAAACTTATTCAGACCAAGTTTCTACAATAAATAAATATTATTTTAATTTTTTTCTTTTGTATACAACCATGCGCTCTTTCAATTTTCCTCAATTATCAGGCATAAACGCGATTGGAAGATTTTATTTATTTTTTTATTTTTTTAAATTAATTTTTAATATTTTTCTATTTTTCTTTTTAATTTATTTTAAATGATTTTAGAAACGAAAAATGAAACCAACCTCTTTATTAAATCGAGCTAATTTGACGCCATTTTACACTTATAAGGAATTAATTGTATGTTTTTAATTATTTTAATTTTATTTTCTATTTTGATTTTAGCCGCTTTGTGGTAAAAATTTGGTTCCGAATGCAACGGAGAGGCCAAGATCTAAAAAGTAATGGATGGTATTTTTTGAATAAATTTTGAATTTATGGAAGGGGAAGTAAGGGACGGGGTTCATTCATAAAAGGGAGAGGGGCTCAAGTATTTTTTAGAAAAGTCGTAAATGATGTAATTTTAAAAAAATCTTGGGCATTTAAACGCCTGGTTCGGGGAGAGCACGTTATTAGCCTTTTATTGGGTGTCGGACTTCATCTGGAGACACATCCTTATAGTTGAAATTTTTTAGATATTCTTAGATGGTGTACTCCAAGGCTCTAGTCGGCCCCCTCCTTTTAGTTAAAATCTTGGGTGTTCTCAGATATATGGGTGTACTCTAGGGATCTAGCCGGTCCAACGTTTCTTGGGCGGGGGATCCCTGATCTGACTTTCTAAAATTAATTTTAAAGCAAATGTTTGGATGAAATGCAGCATTTATTTGCCTGTTTAAAGAAATGGGAATATGACGATTTGCATTGTAAAGAATTTAATGAAGCTTTGCAACGCTGTGTTACAGAAAACCATGTCCACATCCAGGCACAACTTAAGCGAAATCGTGAGGGAGAATTAAAGTTTCACATTGCCTCGGAAGGAAGCAACGTTAAAGAACACGCAGACAAAATGTCTTTAAAAGAAATTAATACTTTATTCAAAAAATATCCACAACCGGATTTGCCTAAACCTCCATACAATCCTCATCAACGTATGGGACATCAACCTTATTGGGGAGATCAATTCAATCTTAAATATAAGAGAGGGAAAAAGAGTTGAGAGATGAATTATTGTTGTTGTTTGTTTTAATGATTTTAGTTGGTATTATTTCTTTGACTGCTTATAAAGAAACGGATTTATTTTCCTTTAAAATTTTTGTTTTTCATTAAATTTGGGTATTTTGTTCTAGAGTACGTTGAAGTTCGATCGAGTACGAGTTGTTCAACTCGATAGCTCGGGGTTTTTTTAGCCTTTACACGGGCTCGGAACTCGTGATTTTAATACTCTAAGCTTCTTACTTGACAGACATCGTTAAAACCTTGTATTTTTATGCCTCTATCTGCGGCACAAAAAAGGAAGATTTTTGGCTCAAGGATCTTCCAAATTTCTCTAAATTCTGGTGGATTGCTGAATTTTTATCCAATAGAACATTTGTCGTAAAAATAGATAATGAAGTTTCCCAAATAAGAAAGATAACATCAGGTGTTCCTCAGGGATCAGTTTTAGGACCTCTACTGTTTCTAATATATATAAATGATTTACCTAGTATTTTACCAAAAGAAGTTAAAATAAGAATGTTTGCGGATGATGTTAAGTTATATGTAGTTCATAACAATAAAACTGAAAGAAAACAACTAAGTATTGCTATAGATAAAATTGAGGAATGGTCTAAAATTTGGAAAATAGATATAGCCACTAATAAAACTTTTGTTATCCATATTGGTAGGAATAATCCTAAAGATCAATATAAAATTAATGATAATATTATTAATGAAGTAGAATCAATACGTGATCTTGGCATTATAATAGATAATAAATTAAAATTTGATAAACACATAAGTAAGATAATACAAAATGCTTATTTCAGAATGAGACTTGTTTTTAAAGTTATTAAATCTAGAACAACCTTAACATGGTTAACCGTTTATAAAAGCTATATAAGACCTTTACTGGAATATTCTCCAGAGGCTTGGAACCCACTACAGAAATCTGAAATAAGTCGATTAGAAAAATGTCAAAAATACTTTACAAAAATCCTATTTAAAAAATGTTGTTTGCCCTATACTGACTATTATAATCGATTAGAATATCTAAAAATTCAAACTCTTGAAAATCGTAGAAAAATGTATGATCTAATGTTGGCATTTAAGATACTTAATGGTTATACACATATTAACCCCAAAGATATATTTCTAATCTCTAATAGGAAAAATAGGTCTAAAATAAGAATTAATTCAAAACAGCAAAATAAATTTAGCTCTAAATCTTTTATAAATAGAGTAACAAAAGATTGGAATGTATTATCCAACGAAAATATCCTAGCAAGACGCCTTTAACTTTTAAAAATAAACTAAAGTCCATTTTGGTACAATAAATTAACTATTTTAGGCTTTTATGGGTATGACAAGCACACTATCAAAAACAACAAAGAAATGGGAAAAATACGAAAATAAACAGTTATTAATTTATAAATATTTTCTGTTTTTTTGGTGTATTTGATAATTATTTATGCTCAAAAACAAAACAAAAATTCCTATATTTTTTTTTACGAGATAGCAAAAAATAGTACCATCTACTCAGTTTTTAGTTTAAATTTGATAAAAAATAAATTTTTATTTTTTTAAGTAAATATTGGTCTAATTTTTGCTAGACTCTAATGACAAAAACAAAAAATTTTTTATTTTAAATTTGGCGTTTTGTATTTTGTACTTGTGTTGGATTTTGGTCGATAATTATTGTGATCCAAAAAACAAATATTTTCTATATTTTTCCCTAAGAGATAAAAAAAAGGATAGTATTTACTATTTAGATTATATATATTTTTTTTTAATTTGTCAAAAATTTTTTTTTGAATACTACCCTATCTTTTTTTTAGACTCTAATGACAATAATTCTTAATTAAATGTTGGCGTTTCGTATTTTTATTTGTTTAGATGATTCATATTTTTTATTATAATGTTAGGAACTTTCTTTTTTTTAAGATTGACTTTATATCCATTTTTTATATATGCGTTTCTAGTGTTTTCCCCTCTTGACTTTTAATTTAATTTATATAATTTATTTATTTTTTTAGATATTTTTCTAAACTTTTTTTGCTCTTTGACATTCTTGGGTAAAAATGACTGGAAAACGCTCTCAAGCTAATTCCAATGTTTCTCCTATTAATCAAAGGATGGAATTTGACAACAAGAAAAAATTTTTAAATGAATTGAATCTGCTTAATCAATCAACAATGGAAATTGAAAAGGATGTCAACATTCCACAATATGCTCAAACAATGCTGCGCCAAATGTCAGCACTACTTCAACTGGCTGGGTCAATCATCGGAGATCAGGTTTCTATACAAGAAGCGATTGAAGAGGATAGAAGGGCTCACAGTGTTGTGGTTTCTGGTATTTTGGAAAGCAAAGCAACATCACCAACGCAGCGTGCAGCAGACGACAGACAACAAATCAATAAATTATTGGACCTTTGTGAAGTGGAATGTCTTCCTGTCAAAGTTTACCGAATGGGCACCGCAAATGACAACAAAAATCGATTACTGAAAGTGGAACTTCCCACGCGCTGGCATGTTCGTCGAATGCTTGGACAAAGAAAGAAGCTTCCGGAAAGTATAAAGGTTAGGGAATCATTTAATAAAGAACAATTAGCCGAACGTGCTCGCTTAATTAATTTGTGTAAGGAACGATATAAAAATGACCCAAATTGTAACTGTGTAATCTTTTCGGGTCATGTTATGACCCGGAATGAAATTCCCAGGTTCCGTAAGGATCCTGGGAATTTTAAGTGTGCTTGTCATACATAGGGGGGTCCACCGCTTACATCGAGTAATTCACAATTTACTGATTCTACTGAAAAAATTAAAGGCGGACTTGTTAATGTCAGGTCAATCAAAAACAAAGTTGATGAAACGTTTCTTGCCCTTAATACTCTTAGTTTAGACCTATTATTCCTTACAGAAACCTGGTTAAATAAGGAAGAAAACCTAGAATTCCTAGATTTAAGTATTTTAGATAAATACAACACTTTAGTTTGTAATCGTATAAAAAAAGGGGGTGGATGTGCAATTCTTATTAATAAAAAATTTTCATACTTGTTAAGAAATTCAATATCAAAATTCAATTGTCAAATCTTACATTTCCAATTGTGTCATTCGAAATGCTTGAATATAATTCTCTTATATAGACCACCTGACACTACCTTTAACTGTACAAAGAAACTTTTAAATTTTCTTGAAGAATTGCTTACTTTTAATTGTATAATTTTAGGAGACTTTAATTTTGGCAATAAGGATACTAATTGGGTTAATTCTATTCCCTATCCAAAGTCAAAAATAGGCGAATTATTTTACGAATTCTTTAATAGAATAAATTTAACTTCTATTATTCCATATCCAACACGTGATGATGCTTACTTAGATCTTCTTCTTACAAATAGGCCTGAAATTTTTTCTAATATTCTTAACCAAAACAAGTATTTTTCCTCTGATCATGACTTAATAACATTTGAAATGAGATTTCCAAGAATTAAGAGTAATAACCCAATAATAAAATATAGGCAATATTCAATAAACCAAATAAAACTACTAAATTTATATTTATCCTCTATTCTAAATAATCTACATACTATAAATTTCTATGTAGAGGATAAATATAATAATTTAACTAAAGCTATAATGGATGGTTTAGAATGTTTTTGTCCTGAAAAGAGTAACTAAAAAAGATAAAGTTTATAAATATCCTGCTCATTTACTAGCATCAATTAAGGAAAAGAAAAAATTGTATAGGCTTCAAAAAATAGATAAATCCAGTTATGAGAAACAATATAAAAGTATCTCATTACACATTAGAATTCAAACAAAAAATTTTTTGTCTAGGCAACAAAATAAGATGCTGAATAATAATCCTATGAATATATTTAGGTATATGAATAGGTTTAAATTAATAGAAAATCAAATTCCAACAATATTTTTTAATAACAAGATAATTAGTAACTCCTATGATAAATCTGAAGTCTTTGCTGAAATTTTTAGTAAAAGTCTTTGTAATATTGATGTTACTAACAATGTTTATGAATATAACTATAATAATCAAGGACTTAACTTAACTGATATTAACTTCGACATCACTGATGTTCTCTATGTATTAAAAAAGATTCCAAATAAAGATGGAACATCGCCTGATGGAATTAGTTATAAAATAGTTAAGAATTCTTATTTAGTATTAGCTCCGTATCTTTTAGATTTCTTTAGAATATCACTTGATGAAGGAACAATACCTAACATTTGGAAAAGATCAATTATAGTCCCTATTTTTAAAAAAGGAGATAAATCTAATCCAGAGAATTATAGACCTGTTTCCATTACTTGTTGCATGTGTAGAATCATGGAAAAAATTTTAGCCAAATATATTTTTGAATTTCTATTGTCAAATAATCTACTAAGTAAGGAACAATTCGGTTTTATAAAACAAAGATCAACAACGACTCAATTTATCACCACACTAGAAGATTGGTATGAAGCAATATTCAGAAAGAAAAATATTGATTGTATATTTATAGATTTTAAAAAAGCTTTTGATTCAGTTCAACACGACTTATTACTGAAAAAGCTTTTTGAAATAGGTATACAAGGAAAAATTCACAAATGGATTGCTGAATTTTTATCCAATAGAACATTTGTCGTAAAAATAGATAATGAAGTTTCCCAAATAAGAAAGATAACATCAGGTGTTCCTCAGGGATCAGTTTTAGGACCTCTACTGTTTCTAATATATATAAATGATTTACCTAGTATTTTACCAAAAGAAGTTAAAATAAGAATGTTTGCGGATGATGTTAAGTTATATGTAGTTCATAACAATAAAACTGAAAGAAAACAACTAAGTATTGCTATAGATAAAATTGAGGAATGGTCTAAAATTTGGAAAATAGATATAGCCACTAATAAAACTTTTGTTATCCATATTGGTAGGAATAATCCTAAAGATCAATATAAAATTAATGATAATATTATTAATGAAGTAGAATCAATACGTGATCTTGGCATTATAATAGATAAT